AATCTGTTATCTTTAACTTTTCCTTCAATATGTCCATAAAAATGCAAACGCGCTTTGAAAAGTACTCGTCTGCAATAAGTGGGTTTTCACTAAGTTTTTCTTGCATAACTTGGCTTGCTTGCTTCTCGGTAAGTAAATTTAATTCTTCAACAGATATACCAAAATGCCTCGCCAGACAACTCCACCAAAGGTCTGCTGCACTTAACGTAAGAAACAATGTTGGTACGCCCAGCTGATTAACCATTGACTGAAGCTCTAAACGTCGTTGGTACCAAAATGATGAAGTGCCACGGATTTTGGAACCCCATGTCAGCAAACGTTTTATTATTGACGGGTTTCTAGCTACTTCCACTTCTAACTGTGCTATATTACCACAAAAGTCATTTTTTTAGCGAATATAGCACTCTGTCGACAGGCATCGTGTCTTTGCATTGTATTCAAGCAGAAAAATCGGAATCGAGGATCTTGAGAAAATCGTTTGTCTTCATATCTGAATATAAGAAACTCACACCACTCTCGAAATGAAACCTTGATGTTCCTAGTTAGGTCAAGGAAATCTGCAGCACCGTTTGGGAACAAATGGGGGAATGCTTGTGGAATATAACCGGAGTGTGTAAATTCATTGATGGGAATAGGTGAAGCTCTTGGCCATTTTATTTGGTTTATTATAGCGGATTCTTGACTTTGTCTCGGAATTAGTGGAACTGCTGTTTCTTCAATATGATCTTTGTCAAATGATTCATTAGATAAACCACCTTCGTCAATATATCTTAATTCATCAGCGACACTGTCATCCAATGGCAAAGACTCAATAACGTCCATATCTATATGAACATCAGCATAATATTGATTATGTGTTTGTAGCCAATGAAGTGCTTGTAGGACCTTTTGCTTCCTCACACGGAAATCGGAATAACCTGTTACTCCTGCGCGGCGTACAATCACAATCCCAAGGCGTGAAGGGGCGATTGGCAGCGATGTAGCGATATCAGTTATATCTTGTTCAACATTTATTACATGTCCTTTGTAATGATATTGACCTAATGATCTGCACGGTTTAAACTGGTATACCCGCATGACAGGGTGGATTCGAGCTATTAACATTTGTTCAATCATTGAAAGATTTTGGAGTTCTGCAGGAACGATTGATGGTTGCATGTTGTTTGCCGAAGAGAATTTTTCGGGATTTTTGATGCATGATGTACAAATGTAGTTATCATTGCTAACTATGTCCAAGCGTTTACAGATTGAGCATGGTTGATACGAAAGTTCATCCAAATTCTGCTTAAACCTCTGAGCATACTCTTCATCAGTTGTAGTCGCCCGCCAAACATGACGGGATGCGTTAACGGTGCGTCGCCCAAGATTGGCCCCACCTCTCCGTAAACGTGGCATTTGCCTGAGAAAACATACACATTTTGATAGTTAACTTGAAAACAACCCTCATAATTAAGCTAAATGAATCAAAATAGTAAAGAAAATCAAAATATTAATTTCAAACAGTGTTTAGTAACAGTCAATCAGATATAATAATTGACAATTGGATACAGAAGTAGACATCCTACATTCCACCTATATGGACCAGCTTTTGCCAAAATATATTATTTTTTTTAAACGTAGTCGTGTGAGCCAGTCACAGAATGCGCTAGTATCTAAAATCCTATTTTCTAAATATTTTTTTATGAAATAGTTTATGAGTCATAACAGTTGTTGCTATAGCTCATATTGAGTCAATCCACCAGTTTGACAATCAAACAGGAATAATTTGCCAAAAACATTGTGTATTAGACAGAAATTATGTAGTAATTTAGATCAGCGCATAATTCAAGACAAACTTGATTAAAACAGGCAAAAACTTCTAACATGGTGATGTTTAATGGTCTACTTGTACCAATAGTTAAGGGTATAATAATTATAAGCTGTATAATAAGAATCAACATACAGAATAAAAGAAAAATTTAACAATCCTTCATTAAAAAGTACACTTGGAGACAATAGCTTGTGTCTTGGCTCGATAAAACCATTTACATAGACTCAAAGCTGTTTAATAGTTAATCAATCGCTCTTTCTTTGATAATGTAAACTGTTAAAGTAATGTATAGCTGGCTTATAAACTTGACAAAATTATATGCTATTCTTGTAACCAAAATGTCGCACAGCTTAGTGGCCAATGTTAATATTACTATTTATTACATTTAAAAGTAAAACTTTCACGATTTCATAGTTAGGAAAAAAATTTAAATGGACTTGAGGATTGGACTTTTGAATGAGAGAAAACAGTAAGATAGGTGACACATTTTAAGTAGCCATAAACATACTTTATTAGTGGTATAAACCAGAATTCAGTTTCAGCAATATACCAATAGGCTTTGCCAAAAATATAGATATTAAGTTAATACCTATATGCTGTTATTTGTATGCTGTATCATTGTACACTAACTTGCATTAAGTTACATATATATATAATTTCTATTAAGTGGTATAAACCAGAATTCAGTTTCAGCAATATACCAATAGGCTTTGCCAAAAATATAGATATTAAGTTAATACCTATGCTGTTATTTATGCTGTATCATTGTACACTAAATTGCATTAAGTTACATATATATATAATTTCTATACTGCAAATGAATCATGGTAGGCCTATGTGAGACCTGTATTATTAAAAGGTAATAACGATTATTATTATATTATTATTACCTCTTGTATGTAGAATTTCCTTTCCTCTATTTTTCTTCAATGTCTTCTTGGTATTAAAACAAAATCAAACTCACCAATTCAATTACTGTACCTCAATTTAACTGTTAACATTGTTGTGAGGGGTTGGGGTTAGCCACGGGGATCGTGGAAATAGTTTTAACATATGTTTAAAAGCATTGTTGGTTGCCGCGCCAGTTACTGGGATTGCGGAACAGAAATGTTCTGTCGACACCGTTGATTAAACAGCGTTGGTGGTGTAGTCGTTAAATTACCCGACTGACGATCGTGAGATCCCGGGTTCGAAACTCGTCGGCGGTCATAACTTTTTGCTTCCGATTTTGTTAGGATATAATTTTCCCTTAACTTCACTAATTAGTTTTTTTTTTATCTGAACCATTTATAATTTAATTTGGGGATTAGAATGCATTTTTTATAAATACAATAACTTTATGTTTGTAATCATTTCCTAACAGCAAATAATTGATATAGGCTAATCGATTATTTAAATTATCAATTCGTTTAAGTATAGGCCTATAACTTAGGTCTAGTTTTATTTTAGCAGTTAAAAGTAAGAAATATATCGTTGACCACTTTCAAAATTTCCCTTTTGTGCAATAAAATGTAGGCCTATCAATACGACTATGAAGTAGACTAAAAATAATAAGTGAAAACTTTAGGAATTGGTTTACGTTACATTACATTTGTAATAAAACATCAAAATAAGCAGTTTGCTTAACCCTAAACCTTATATTTCCTAGTATCTGGTACCTATATATTTTTCAACTTAAATTTAGACTACTATGGCAATGTTTAAAAACTATTTTGTTAATAAGTATCGCAGGGTAAAGCGAGGTGGTAGAAAATAGGTCTACCGGTTGGCCTATTTTGGTTAAACGACGATGTTAAATATCTTGTCATGAATTTGACAGAGGAGCAAAGTAGGCCTAATTCAATCGGTGATTAATTTTTGTCGAAGTGCACACGGCAATATTAGTTAATCCTTTGGGATTTTATTGTCTAAGTTACACCATTTAGTTTTAAATCTTACCGGTAAACCAAGTGGTTGTGATTTCATTTCGCAAAATGATTTTGTATTTTTAGCTACGTTACATTTTTTATAAATTTACTTGCAAATCAAGGGCGGTGTGATATTTGTTATTACATAATTATATGTTGTAGTGTTTTTTAATAACCTCGTTTTATATTCTCCTTCTCCACACAACATAGGCTTAGGCCTAATTAGTTGACTATTCATTGTTGTTAAAAAGAACAGAACGATTATAAAATTAAATAAAAACGGCATGAATTTAATCACTCAATATAGAACTGATTGTTAATAAATTTCGTATTACATGCAATAGACTAATATGCACTTTAGTATTTATCCGACTTTTTCCTTTGTACTGTATTTACAATGTGTTAGATTTGTTTACTAACATATGTCGAGGCTCTTGTTTTCTTTTTAGTGTTGACTCGCAAATAATGTCATGGCAACCAATTAACCCATAAGGCCCATGTTAAATTTCTAAAAGTTTGCATTCATGTAGGGAAAATTCCTATGGTCCGATTTGTACCATTTCAGATTTATACCTTCCCATGGTTGGTATAATAACACGGTGCTTAATAACGGCACGGTACCAAATAATAACTATGGCTGTGTTAAATTTCGTGAAGATCGCTTCAGCCGTTCAGGAGAAGTATTTGTAATAAAAAAGCAGGAGTGTAGTATAAGAACGTGAGTGTTTGTTTCTACTTTATTGTGTTTGAGCCTGAGAAAAAGATAGTTAATACCAAACTATGACTTTTAATTTATAATCAGAGCATATGCCTACGTGCTTTGCACATAGCTTACGGAACACATAGGCCTAGGTGTAGGCTACTGTGGATGTAAATGGGTAAGAACTAGTGTTTCTTTACTCTAGGTATGTTTTTACCTCCTTTAAAATTTGTTGCCTCACACATTACCTATCTCCTTCTCTGCTTGAGAGATTAGCTGGGTCAACAATTTATAATATACTTAATCTTCTTTACAAGGAACAAGAGCACAATGGCATATGTTCTACGGGGTTGTTTGTACTTATTACATCAGGCTTACCAGATTGGGAAAGTCTACTCTGAAATAGGGAAATTATTTTACACTTTAAAAAAGTATTATTGCAAACCCAAAAACATAGACTTAAAGAAGAAGTTCTGAGACTACTTTCAATTAGATTAAAAAATAATTCACTCGTTTTAGCAAAAACATTTTTGTATATGGTTACTCAATTTTTCCTAGATTTTTAGCAAACACTGTTTCCCACCTTTAAGTCAACATCTGCGCTCAACTTTTTGTACTCTTTCATCCGACTGGTGTGAATGTTGAGAATCTGCACTCGCCCGTTCTCATCGGGCAGACTGATCTCCATTTGAACCTGTATATAAAAATAAGCTTATAAATTTCTTTAAAAAATTAACCTTTAAAAGTAGCCTATAAATGTTTTTTGTATGAGGGTTTTCTGTTTTTCAAGTTTTTTTTTTGTACCAAAGGATTTTTAAGTTATTCATTTAGTTAAAAGGATTATTATGTACAAGGATAGGGATCAGCTAGCTTACCTGGTAGACAGAGTCCAGATTAGCCTTGATTACACATAAAACACATGACACAACACAGAAAAACTTAATATTTTGTCCCAGTTAGGGACTTCATCAGAAGGGAGAAGAAAGAAAAACTCATTTAGATCAAAGGTAGAACAAGAAAATAACCATTAAAAAATATCCAAACAGTATGTAGATTATATTCATAGGAGCTTCTTTTCAAAAACATAAATTTAAAATTAAATGCTTGGTGCCTGATGTTTATCAGTAAAGTTCATTCTTAAAAGAGGTATTATTTAGTCCTAGCTAGGACGCTAGACTCCAGCCCGGGATTGGTTTTAAAATTACTTCAGGCTATAGCTAGGGGTTGCGGCATTATCACTTAGGTAAAACCCAGTGGTGACTTGGCAGTATTTCAACCCGGGACGTCAGGGACCAAAGACCACTAGACCAGCTCGCTTCCCCTTAAAAGAGGTTGCCAACTCTCTCCAGTAAAAATTCTAGTTTCTTTAGAAACTCACAAATTATGTCAAAGCCTTTGAATTCATCAGCGACTTAATTCCAGCCACAAGAATTACATTTTGAGTATTCCGACTGAAAAATCCAATCTCACCTCCAGTCTGCCGGGTCGCATCAGAGCCTCGTCAATCATGTCACGTCGGTTGGTCATCCCGATCACGAGGATGTTGTTTAGTTGTTCCACACCATCTATTTTGGACAACAGCTGGTTGACCACGGTGTCGTGCACGCCGGTGCTCCCGCCTGACGAACCTCTTGCCTTGCAGATGGCGTCTATCTCATCGAAGATGATGATGTGCAGCCCGCTGTTAGGACCCAGCTGCGAAGTTAGCCAGTTGTTGATAAGAGAAAACATAGTGTACAAGGATGTAGGTGAAGGTCATTTGTTAGGATAACAAGCTTACCTGTATGAGTCCACTTCAACACAATAGCTATTTGTGTATTAAGAGCGTAAAGTACGTCATTGCCGCTCAAGAACTGTAGATGGCCGCAATCTTTAGCTTAGTGCGGCTATAGATGTAAACTGAAAATATCCCTCCCTGAGTCCATGTCAAAAATTTCCAAGCTCAAATGAAAACTAAATACAGTAGAGTCCCGTTAGTCCGAAATGGTTGGGACCGGGCCCATTTCGGATTACCGAATATTTCGGATTAAACGTTTTTTTTTGTTTTTTTTTTACTTTTTTAAAATTTTTGAAATTTTTTTTACTTTTTTGAAAATTTTGAAAATTTTTTTTATTTTTTGAAATTTTTTGGGATTGTTTTTTTGATTACTTAGACCTAGTGGCTGCAGCATTATCACTTCATAAAATCCATTTGTGATTTGGGGGGATTGGAACCCTGGACAAAAATAAAAAATGTTAATAACAAAAATTGTGAAATATTTACTAAAATACTCAACAAAAAGTCTATATTGCCCGGCCGCTACAGAATACTTTGACGAGGTACAGCTAACTGTGTTAAAAGTTTAATAAACAAAAATTTAAAAAAAAATCCTAAATAATTTCAAAAAAATTTCAAAAGTTTTCAAAAAAATTTCATAAGTTTTCAAAAAAATTTCAAAAGTTTTAAAACAAATTTCAAAAGTTTTAAAAAAAATTTCAAAAGTTAAAAAAATCAAAAAATTTTCAAAAATTTTTTAAAAAATTCAAAAAAAAATTTTTTTAATTTATTTTTTGGTTTCGGATTAAGCGGACTTTCGGATTACCGAAGTTCGGATTATCGGGACTCCACTGTAGTGCCTATTTTAATTTTTACTAACTTGTGTAATATAGTAAAATCAGTAGAGCATAAAATCCTACAAAAATACTTTTTCTCAGTTCATTATAAGACTTAACCCAAACTACAAAAGCACTTGTGTACAAAATAAAAAAATAAATCTGCTACAATTTAAAACTGAAAAAATGTCAGATCCATTCATAAAGGCTTTGATGAAATTGTAAAATCATAGTTACCCTCTTTTCTTCTTCTTCAGCATCAGCGAAAAGTCTACGAACGTTGGCTTCAGATTCACCAACATATTTGTCTAGAATCTGTGGCCCGTTGACTATTTTAGGTTCTCTGGCGTTCAACATTTTTCCAATCTGCCGTGCCATCAGGGTTTTACCAGTGCCAGGCGGACCGAACAACAAAATGCCCTTGACGTGCTTGCAGCCTGAAAATAAACATCTAAATTATATCACGGTGAAAGTATTATTCTCGCATACAGTTAAATAATTGATAACATTATACAAGTTTGATTCAATTTGTTATAAGTATGTGGTGGTTAAAAAACGATAAAACTATTTTTAGGAATTAAAATAAAAAGTATATAATTTTTAGTAGTCTTGATATAAAATCTAGATATTAAAAATAGATGTATTTAAGTCACAAAGTTCTTTATTCCACTTGATTCGGGATCGGCTTATCAAAATGGATAAAAAAAATGTTCAACTTACTGTTGAACTAGTCCTAATCCTTGTACATAACTCACAAAGTTAGTCATTTGTTTGTGCATAGTCTTTTTCACAACATACAAATGTTGAATTAAACAGTTCAACATTTGCAACTGTCTTTTAAAAGCAAGTTTTTAGTACGGTACCGACAATAATCACAAAGGCAAATCTACTGTAGTAACTGCATTTCCTGGTTTTAAAGACAGAACTTTATATTAGTAAAAAAATATAAACATTTAAAATATAATAAAATCTAAAAAGATTTCAAAAATAAAAAATGTTTATACCTATCTTATTCATACTTAGCAAATGCAAACGCACAACTTAAATGCTAATCAGGAATAAATTACTATAACCAACTATTATACATTTTAACATATTCCAAATCACTCGCTAGGTCTAAAATATTTTCAGAAAATGACAAACACCTAACTGCTCCACGATTTCTTGTGGGAATACTCGAGACGCGAAGGCTCTTCGGAAGATAGCGTTGAACTCATTGTCCAGTCCACCGATTCCCATACTCTTGAAGTCCCAATCAGGGTTTATGATTGACTGACGGACAACTTTCCTGTGAAGAGTCACAAAAATTAAGTTTTTACGATTTTACCGGGCAAATATAAATTTACACGTACAACATTCTTGTCTTTTTTTAAATACGAGTCTATATCCTTATGTGCACCTATAAAAAATAAAAATTTTACAGTTATATTATATAACTTTTTACCATAAACTTATTCATAGTTATAAAAACAGTTTTATCGATTTTAAATACATAATCTGTTGTTTAACAATATTTTACAAGTAAATAACAATAGGTACCAAGCAGTTAATGCATTGATGATTATTGGCTGAGCTGCCAATTAAAGACTCCTAACAGATTGTGCCGTAAACATCCAAAACTTGTATCTCGTTACAATCAAACTGAAACAACTAATTCCTGATTTTGGGAGGACTGAATAGAATGAGCCCTATCAACAAAGAGTTATTTAGAGATAAAGAAGTAAACTGACAAACGCTTACAATCACTGAAAGTTTTTTTTTTCACATCAAAACTTAGTTGCATAGGCCTAGTACATTCTAAAGTGTATGGAAAAAAACAAACATTTTTTTAAATTCTAAACATACTGTTGGTCTTGTATAACCAGCATTAAATTAAACCAGTATGTTTGGATTCCTAGTTGTCCATTGTGGGCTTTTTAAAAAAATATCTTGTTTATAATTCATTATTTAATTCAATTAGTTTAATTGATACATAGTAACACATACCCTTTGGCTTTCCCAACCAGATTGAGGGAGGAGTTCTCTGCTTTTTCAAACTGAATCATGGTGTCCCCCAAGCACCGTCCCATTCTTGTCTTTCGAGGTTTAGCATCCTGTCCGTTTTTTATGGCACTTATGTCAACAGCTGAAATATTAAAACAAAAATTAAAAATGGAAATAAAATTATTAACTTGGAACGAATGGATAATTTTAAGTAACAATTGTGAAATTAAGGATTAGAAGTCTTTAAATAACAAACTAAATACTTTGCCACATAGTAATACACCCATTATCATTGACTAGTGTAGTAAGATTTAGGTTATATCACATTTTCTATAAATTCTTATGTGTGTTATATTTTAGTTACATTGTTGTTTGGTTAAAATGGGTTTGAAATTTGTTAAACAAAAAGACACATAACAAAACAGCCTAAAGGCTACATAAGCCGGACAGAACTAAGCAAATTGTCTTTACCTTAAGTTTGTTATGGATTTATTCATAAGAAATATATTCAATCGTGGTACGGCATTACTAAAACTCTCAAACATACACTCACTAATTGTTCTATATTTTTTATTATTATCATATTGTTAGAATGCGCAATGAAGTACTGTTGGTAGCTCATTAGTTTTTGAACAAATTTGTACATACCTTCCAAACTTTTCACGTAAAGGCTTAACATCTTTTTCTCCAGAAATTGGAAAGCCAGGAGTTGGCCAACAGTGAATGCTTGGCCGGAAAACTGCATGATAAATTCCTTGGCCATCATGTCAGTGTCGTACGGCTCAGTGGTGGATCTGGAACCAACGTAAATGTTAAGGAAATTTTGATAATGACTGAATTAAGGGTTAATATCCATGAAGACAGAGGACACAGAAATCCAGTCAGAACTCTATGTCTAGAGGTCATTTAATGGAATTTTTTATTATACTCATATTGGTTTCCAGGAAAATTATAATGAATGTTAAAAATACACCACTACGATTCATACTTAATCAATAATTTCCAATAAGTTGGGAGACTAAAACAAATGAGTGTGTAATGTCAGAACCAGCAATAACAGTCTTCCTTGCAACGAGTAGGGCCTACTATGAGTACTCAGTTCACACTGAGCCAAAACAGGAAAAAGGAACTCATGCTCTACTGAGTACAACAAACCTCTGTCATCTAATTGAGGTCATCTGGTACTTGATAGTGAAAGTGTTAGTCTCCAAGCAACATTATTCTCAGAGGCGGCCCTACATATAGGCGAACAATGCAGTGCCTGGGGCCCCGCACAGCGGTATTTCATGTATTAAGAGCTTCGCCCTTTTGAACTTTGCCTTGGGCCCCTTAATCTCTAGGGCCTCCACAGATTATTCTTTGCGCCTAAAGCTGGATTTTCCTAGGCATGAAAGCAGAGAGCAGAGTCCGATCTCCTCTTGTCTTAGGTAAATTAATGGTAATATTTTCCTAGAAGTGGAGCAGACTACTCCACTGGACTAGAAAACGGTTCCTCGCACTCTGCGTCTAGGATAACCCAACTTAATGTGCAATTGTGACCTTTTAAATCGACTTTAACTTACGATTTCTTTTGCAGAAAGTCAGCCTCGAGAGTGATGGTGCAGAGGCACTCTGAGCTAGACGTTGGGTTGAAGTGGTAAGGCTTGACGTCAATGTCCTGACCCAGAGACAGCGTAGCCCACTTACGTTGCGGCAGACTGAACCCAATCTGACCCCGAGGAATCTCCGGGTGGTATTTGACAGAGAACACAAAGTGCTGTCCCGGGCCAGTGCTGACTTCGATGTGTCTGTAATGTTTGATTGCATTTACTAACATGTATTTTACTTCACTTAATTACCAAGACATTTTATGTCAACTGAAATACTACCCCCAAAAATATTTTGATTCTACTAACTTCTAAAACGAATAAAAAAGGTGCAGTTGAACTCCAATTATTTTAATAAATTGGGAACATACAACATTCTGAAAGTCAAAAATTCGGATGATTGGATTTGTGCAAAATTTGGGGTACCATACAGGAAATAGGCCGAGTCAAGCCAGGCCTTTACTATTGCGATCGCGGATCGCATCAGTAGGCCTACATATGTCGGGATTGAAAAATTCACTCTATCGCAGAGGGTGATTTTCCAAGACCGTGGGAGACAACAAGATGATGTCTACAAGACCGCAGAAGATCTTCAATATTTTGCCACGATTGCAGAAAACGATGACAATGCTTCCATGACCTTGAGAGACGGTGATCATGTCTACAGGACTGTGTGGGAGGGTTTGGATTTAGCCGCTATCATGACTTTTGCATTATTTAATAAGCCTAAATATTCTTATTGCTGTAGTTTCTTAAAAATTCTTTCTGTACGTGATTTTGGATAATTGGAGTTCTACTGTAATTGGATACAACTAAGGTTAAGCTAGCTTGTGTAAGATAATTGGTGTTCAGGGGCTTACAGACAATAAGGTCACATTACATTTTAATGCCAAACGAGTTAAAAGGTAAGCTAGTTAAACTTGTCTTTTAAAACCAATGATAAAAAATACCTCTAGGGCCTATAGTATGAGAGTCGTTAATTGAAAGATTGGTCTGAGAAGCTTAAAATTGTATGCAGTTTAAACTGAGTTTGTTTTCTGAGACCTTAAAAAAACAATTAAGCTGTACCAAAACCAAATATAGAAAAAAAAACATATATCTAGGCCTACTACCTAAATATAAATGTTAAACACTTGCATTATTAGTGTTTCAAATAGGTAATCTTTTAGTGATAATTGAAGTCAGCAGAACAAAAATTACCAAGGCATTTTACTAATCTATTAGCATATAAATGCAAATTGCAAAATTAAATAAACAATTAGGCCTAATTAATTTCTAGTATCTTATCTTACAATACCCTAAATTAAGGGATTTCTTGAAAACCAATAAAACCTACCAGCTTAGGTAATGTAAAATGACTAACTATTTATTTTTTAAATAGCCTATAGGGTAGAGCCTATATAAACTTACTGAACATCATCAGGGAAGTCATCTTTGCTAGCAACGGCGCAGTTGGTGCGAGTAAGCTCATCAGTAGGACACCTTCCTGCTTTCATGCGCTGTAAAAAATGACACAAATAACAGTTCCATGATTGGGCAAGAGCACTGAGAAGTCAAATACAGAGCAAACATGCTTAAATGGAACAACTGTGCGCTTTTATATCTGGAATGGTGGGGCGGAAATATACTAGTATCTAGCAAGGAAGAGCCTGAATGGTTACCTATTGTTTACAACAGCAGTTGTAGCACACGCTCTTCCAACACCGTGAGTGCTGTAGTATGTGATGGTGAGAGGGGAGCGGAGAGCGGAAGGGAGCGACCAATAGAATTTGCACTAGACACAAGCGACTGGTGCTAGAAACGACCTAAATGTTTCCTCTTTATCTTACTTCTCTGTAGTATGAGCTAACTCAAAACAGTTTGTATTGCTAGCCTGGTGGTTAATATTTCGAAATGTGAGATGACAGGTTCTATCCTTGTCATATCCACAAAAAATAATGAGGCATGGATCCTGTTTGAATTCTTTTTCCTCTGGCCTAGAGAAGAAATACCTATGTAAACTCAAAAAACCTAGAATGAAAAACCACTAGGTAGGCCTACATAATGGCTTTGATATAAGGGTAACTTAGGTCTAATTAACACGTTCGCTACCGAGCGACGCACATTTGCGTCGGTCCGGTCACTCCTACAGACCAAAAGGAATGATCATGACGTTGCTTAAAGACCAAGTGATATAGGAATAAAATTGCCGACAGACCAAAAGAGAAATATTGTTTAATGGACTAATTGACTTCATATTAACCTTAAGTGAATTAGTAAGCAATAAATATTGTTTTTATTTATCGTTTTGAGCAAATTTTAAAACGCCGCATATATGCGTCGGTCAGTCTATTTAATGAAATCCAGTTAAAAAGATTACATTTTCATTTCAATAGACCAGGCGACGCATGTAAGCGTCGTTGAAAATTTGGTTGTTTCAAGCTTTTACACACACAAATAAAGAAACTCCACTAAACACCATGGTGGAAGCCAAAACTGCAAAGGTTATAACGTTTACATCTGTTCTGTGATGTCGCGGAATACACAATGTAAACAACAATGTTGCCAACTGTTGTGTGACGTAACTAATCGTCATATCCACAGTCCAAGTGACGCACATTTGCGGCAGATATCCCTCTAGACCGATACGATAAAATCAGGGCTTTCAAATAGACCGTTGCTAAGAAATACGCTGATTATTAACATTGAACACCGACGCAACTGTGCGTCGTCAGTCTATTTAAATGTGACCAGCTGACGCAAATATGCGTCGGTGGTCTATTGTGAGAAACGAGTCGACGCACAATTGCGTCGCTGGTCTATGTGAACGTAAATTCCATATAATTGTGGTAGCGAACGTGTTAATGAGTTTAAAGCTTTACAGGGTGGCATCTTTGCTGAGGTGCAATCAAGGCTGCACTTAAGTTTAAGCCACACATTCATTCGATTGAAATTTTCGATTAAAACTATCGATATATCGATTATTTTGTTTGATTGTAAATATCGCTATTATTGAAGTATCCGTTGTTATCAGCTGTTTCTAGATCACTCAAAAACAATAACCAAAGGTAATCTAATATACTTAATTCAAGTTTTATCAGATGAAATTGTAATTCAAAAATAAATATCAATTCAAATATTTCAGTTGATGCAAGTTAGGCTGCCTATCGGTAAGTTAAATATTGGTTTTCAATGATTAATTTTTATGACATCAGCTTTAAGTTTCACAACAGTTCAATGTTGCCAGGCCTACTGTAATATTAGTAACTTGTAGTAGGCCTAAGCTTAGTTTTACTGTATATTAGAATGAACTTAACTAAATAACCACTTAACCATGAGAACAAACTAAGTATTTAGGTCAATTGTTACGGATTTATTTTAAATTTATTAGACTTCGAATACATTACACTCTTTCTTGACTAATCAATAAACATGATTCACCCTTCCATGATTTGAAGAAATCACACTTACCATGACTGACATCGTCTTCCAAAAACAAAGTGGAAAAAATAAAGTTGTAAATCAGTATTTACAACTTCCTCATAAAACTTTACGTTAAATACACAGGATTTTTAACAATAATTAAGCAAAGACGGTAATATTTACGAAGTCTGAGCCACTGAAGTCTGCTCCTACTGTAATCATTAACCAACAGGAACAGACGATGCAAACAGAAACGCAAACCCGCAATGCAGCTGTGTGGCAGAAGTCAGAACTGAATCATAGAACGTTAAATTACAAATTACACATCAAATGCAATACTATAAGAAATTAAAAACTGTGTTTATCTAGATGAAGCGGCTAAGTTTAGTCTAAGGGAGTATGTTTTATCCATGGTTTAGTGTACCATCCTTGATAATGAATTTATTTGCATAATCACGTGTTTCTATTTATCATGACTTTGTTTATCATCCAAATAAATTTACAGTGGTTGAAATTCTCAAGTCAAGTGCACAGATGGTTGGGCCAACGTTGGTAAATTGGAGCCACACAGTTGGCCAACGGTAGAAATGTCACCTCTTTAAACTGTTTTCCAACCAACCATTGTCCAACAATGGCCCAACCATCCAAAAATACTGATAGCCAACTAACCATAACCCAACTGATATCCAACCAACCGTTTTATTTCACACAAAATAATAAAGATTTAGTATGAAAAGCATAATTATTAGTTGAGTAAATTGATTAAATAGTTCATAAAAACAGATTTAAAAAAAAAGTTAGAACAAATTTTTTTTGGCCCAGACAGGTCTCGAACCCGGGTCCTTCGACTTGTGAGCCTCTTACCTTACCACTGAGCTATCTGTGATTGTTGAAATAGAGAGATTTCAACTGGTGAAAGAGTAGCCGACAGTTGCAATGGTCGCAATACTTAAAACATGTTTGATACTACAGGATATAATGATTCTGTTAATCTGTTAGGCATCAAGTAGTTGATATTTTTTGGAGTTAGAGAGGATACTGGTATTTGAATATAGATTATTTAATTACCGTTAGATTATTAACGTTATTATAATTGACTGTTATATAATTAATTAATCTTTCACCTTATATTGTTGCAAATAAGTTAAAGAATATTAATTTAAAAAAATATTTGCATTATTATAATTATGATGTGAAAGCTAGGTCCAGAGAATGAAAGTCGTGTAAACTCAACTATGGACCATCGTTGGTCCAACAAAAGTATCTTTTGTTGGTCCAACGGAGTGAAAAACGGTTGCGACCAACTGTCCCACAGTTGGCCAACGTTGGCCCAACCTTCTGTGCTACATGGGCAAGCTCTTATTGGAAGAGGGGTTGCTTCAAAGCCGAAGCCGTAGAGAGAAAGCCCTCCTTTTAGACAGGGCCGAAGCCGTTTGTCCGTAGAGATTGGGGCATACTATATTATCTCAAATAAACCGATTGGCTTAGTTGTATGACATCAGTATCCAAACAAACTGAGACAGAGACAACCCCGTTGCCCATGGGTTTATTGTAAACATGTAGGTGCTTGTTTGTTTTTTTTTTTTTAAGGGAGAGGAGGGAAAATGCTTTTATGCATACATGTGACCAGCCTGTGGTGTTAGACTCCTGAATTTATCAGACTACTCACTAAAAACCCTTTTACTCTATTGGACACAGACACTTTGAATTGCTTGTCACATTACTTCAAGTCAGGCCAGCATGTGACCTAAGCCCTCAGGGCTCGCACGTTTCTGGCCTTTAGATTCTTTATGACATCCCTGGCCGGGGCCGGAGAATACCTTGGATGTATTGTGACACTCAAACTCAGGTCCAATTGTCCTCACCCCTAGACATCATCGGGATCGGGATGACCGTGTCCACCAACAGCGGTCCTACATTGTGTTGAGCCTACAGGCAGGGCCTTTCCCAACACGCCACGCCGGCAGTGGAAAAATGTATGTAACGCATCGACGGGAATTCCTGTGCAGTAGATGCAATCGGGGGACATAGCTTTCCTATCCTGAACAGGTGCGAACGGAAAAGTCCGTGGGTGAGGTAAAATTCTACTTCACCATACCGTTTATTTACCCAATGGTTGACTGTTGACTTGTTGAATCAGTCGCCCGGTCCAGCGTCTCCATGTCTCCTGTTCCCAGCTCTCCTGTCAGAGGTGGTAGGTGCGGTTGCGTTCCTCCTTGCCTGGTCCTCTACATGCCTCTGGCGCTGATATATTGCGCCTTTCTCTCCGCCGCCAAAAGTTTGACGGGGATGACTCCAGCAATCATCAGGACGGCGGGTTCGGACACTGTTTGTAGGCAGATGCTACCCTTAGTGCTGCCTGACGCTGCACTCGGGCGAGCCGCATCCTATGTACCTTCTTATTTAGAGCGTCTGCCCACACCTCCGCTCCACGCCGTACAAGAGTATGGACTGGACCAAAGGCATCAACAGCCTTTCGCGACTGGACCCAGGGCCTCTGACATTGGCCATCAATCGGCTAAGAGAAGAAACCATCCTAGCGGCCTTGTTCGCCGCACGAGAGATCTCACCAGCAGCTAAACTTGTATAGGTGCTCTAGATTCTCACTTAACTATTGATATACAGGGTGGTCATAAAACATTGTACACATTTTAAGATTAAACAAATAAATAAATAACCAAGCAACTTGGAAACAAGGGAACAAGGGTAACAACAAATTAATAATTATAAACATTTCAATGCAGTCATTATAAAAAGTAGTTATAAAAAGTTTGTAAAATCACCTAAACTGTTATTGTAAGTAGTTATGTTTTCTTCTGAGCAGATGAGGACATTTTAGACTATCTATATTTTGGACACTTCCCATTCGTTCAAACTGCTTGCACCACCATTTTATAGAATTGTTACATCGGAGACTAACGGTCATACTCTAAAAATAGTATATTACGTTACTAGTCCTGAAAATAAGTGTTTACCGGACGAGTGTGGTCGTTCCCGTGCGAGACAAAGTCAAGTACGGGATTGCCATACGAGTCCGGTACACACATTTTGAACGAGTTACGTACGATAGTTTACGTCATACTACTATATCCGTACAAATCCTTATATATTTCCACCAACTAAAGGTCTAAAAATCACTAGTCATAAAGAGGTTATGTTTTTGTTTATAACTACTCATTGCCATCTAAATACAGTATAATCAGCTGATAGGTGTCCGGTAATAGTATATTACGTTACTAGTCCTGAAAATATTAAGTGTTTACCGGACGAGTGTGGTCGTTCCCGTGCGAGACGAAGTCGAGTACGGGATTACCATACGAGTCCGGTACACACATTTTGGACGAGTTACGTACGATAGTTTACGCCATACTACTAAATCCGTAAAAATCCTTATATATTTCCACCAACTAAAGGACTAAAAATCACTAGTCATAATATGTTTTTGTTTATAACCACTCACTGCCACCTAAATACAGTATAATCAGCTGATTGGTGTCCGGCAAAACTCATTGCAGCACAGTAGTACGCAATGAAACCCCATTTGAATAAGCTGGCGGCAAACAGCTGTTTTCTGGACTAAATCCTTGCATGGGAAGTTTGTCAAAATAATGTAGTGTGGCGTAAAAGCCTTTTTCAAACAGTTTTTGAGTTTTTACAGATCTGATTTCATGAAACCAAAGAACATGGAGATGTGCCCCAGCGGCACTACTACTAAAGCTGTAGTAGTTGATGCTAACTACAACATGGATCGTTTGACCCAAAGGTAACAGGTAACATATAAACCATTTTATAAACCAAAGAACCACTTTGCTTTTTCTTGCACACACTTCTGTCACACTTAAGTCATTGAGAAGAAACCTACACCCTACATAACCTACACTCACAGTTTAGGTGATTTTTAAATACTTTTTGTAACCAATTTTTTTAATAAATGAAATTTGTATCATTATTTTTTTTGCAGTTACTGTATAAAACTGTTTTAAATATGCTATTTAATGAAACAATTCCCATGTTTCCAAGTTGCTTGGTTATTTATTTATTTTGTCTTAGAATGTGTACAATAATTTATGACCACCCTGTATTTTAGATCATATTTCCACAAAGAATGCCATAGAAAAAATGTAAATTAAGTCAAAACTTGAACACAAAGAAACTTTTCTAATTGTTGCTTTCTCCTCCTATTCATAGTAGGTACATGGGGAAAGTATTGTTTTCATCATAGATTACGAGTTTGAGTGGATATTTCCGTTTACAGATTTTGATGAAATTTCGTAATTGGGTACAAATCCATGGTATCTTCAGGTGTTTTATTTTTTTACATTTTGATTTTTTAGGCTAGTGGTGATTTTCTCCTAAAACCCAATTTAGAAAAAAACAGCCTGAATGGTTTTTGTTAAAATTTTCTATGTTACAGCCCTTTTAAAACTCTTAACTCTATGGTACAACCCAATTGCTGTAAAAAAAGGTTCAAAAGTTATTGAAAATTTATGTGATTTTTCCATAAAATAAACAAAAATTCTGATTTAAAAAAGCTTGACCAATTTAGATTTAAATTTATTACGTTATACGTTGGTACTTTTAACTGTAAACAAACGTGTACCTCCGTTGCTGTAAAAGTTGAGGTTAAAAAACTATTGCAACCTAGTGTGATCTTCAACAGGGCCTTCCGAAGGGGGGGGGGCAACCTGCCCTGGGCGCCGTGACTGAGGGGGCGCTGCGCAGCGGCTATTTATATTAAAAATACATACTATTAAGATATTCGAATGCGACTATTACTGGGGGGGGAGGGGGCGCCATGACCACGTTTGCTCCGGGCGCCGCCAACCCTAGGGATGGCCCTGATCGTCAACCCATAAAATGTTAATTTATCTTTTCATATACGGTATTCCTTCAATAGTTGTAGGGAATGTAGAATGTGTGCAATTAATATAATATGTTAACATTGTAAATTTTGAGTCATTACAATGATCTCTTTCGTATTTATTTTTATAGCATACCTAGTTGTTGTTTTCAATTTAATTAAGTTTACTGTAAAAAAACGGGTAAAATGAATATACTTGGAAAACAGGTTTACAATTTATTATTATCAATATAATAATCAGAACACTAAGTATAATTTGTGATAAAAAATAAATGTACACAGTTAAGAATAAAAAACATTTTGTAAGATATTAATCTAAACTGATATTTTAGTCAACCCTTACTTTTAGCTTTGTACTTATTAACACTAAAATATGTACAGCAACATTTTTTCATGGAAAATATATACACTTCCTAGATTTGTATATTTATTTTACATTTGCACTTGTAAAAATAAAAACAAACTCAACAAAAAACAGAAAAATAGCTAAAAAAAGTCCTGATTAAAATATATAATTAAAGATACATGCACAAAATTGCATACAAAAGACTAGGCCTATTTTCAAAATTCAACTATTCCAATAGGTAGGTGTACAACTATATGTAAAACTACATGTATAACTTATTACAGTAAAAAGATTGCAAGTCAGTAAAATGCACACATAACGAACGTGGATAGCTCCGATCCTTTGGCAAGACTTTTACTTAATCAAATTTATCAGCTTAAATTTACATTAGAGATCATAATTTAAGTAGGTAAGTTATTCTCAAGAAAACAAGGCATACACACGTAAAACTTTGGCCCCTCCCACCTGCTCATTAGACCTTACAACGTTTTTGGCTACGGTCAACCTTGAGTGAATGATTTGAATAATATTGGGGAGCTGTCAGACGTTTTTAAAAAATTGTTGGACCTGAAGAAATAAGTTTATCTCCGTAAATATGGCATTATTTCAGTTAAGTTATCAGCTCAACAAGAATTAAAATCCTTCGGAGCTATTACAAATAAATGAGCATTGAAGCTACAGTTAATGGAGCTTTGGGGTCTTCCCAGTCAATAAAATTTGCAAAGAAATATCATGAACTAAGAAAATATTTTGCAATATTTCATCATTAATTAAAAAAGACCAAATTTATACAATGAAGATACATAATACATATATAAGGTAGCATATATAATGAAACAAATAACAAAGATTGGTTGCAATTGACAAAACAAAAATATTTACAATCATCTTCTACTTCTATCCATATCAATTTCTAGTCCATACAGTCCAATACATCCAACGCCCAAGTTAGTGTCTCTAATTACAAATACAGTAGATTGTATCAGAACATAGAGAAACAAAATAGGTAAAATTGATAGTTTATTGCCTAATGACTGTTTGTTGGGTGATTTTGTGTCTCATTCTGTTAAAAGACTAGATAAGAAAATTATATAGACTCTTATTAAATGTGACACATAAAAGGATACATGCCAAATAGGGAAATAGGCTAACTAAATTGGCTGAGAGGAGAAAACAGAAAACTACTAGTGCATGAGAAAAATTATTTAAAAAAAATATACCCGGAGAATGCATTTATTATATACAGTCAAGATCAAAATTTAAATGAGCTCTTTTACGTCCTAGGGAGTATCAAATCAATCAATCAGAAGAGTAAAAGTCAGCTGTTGTTAACAAACAAAGTTAACTTTGACACAGTAAACTTTCATTGTGTGCAATCGCATGTATTGAAATTAGGTATCGATTTATCCGGTGTACCTCGGCTTTGCCTTGGTCGTGAAACTTGAGCTCGGGTTGAAAAGAGTCACTTTCCGCCCTTGTGATGAAATATTTTAACTTATACAATTTGCGATAGAGCTTATGTATTTTTCTTAGTGGTACTTACTTTTAAATTTGAAGTTTTTAATCCTACATCTAAATTCTTCAGTGCAGAACTTAACATAGCCTTTTTCATTTTCTCTCTTTCAGATTCCTCACTTGTCTCTAAACCTTTGTGTTGGGCTGGTCTTTTACTTGGAAGTTTGATTTTTAGTTTATCTTCTTTAGTCTTTTTTAGGTTTTGGTCCTTTGGTTTTTCTTTCTTAACATTTAAACTATTTATATTTTCTTGGGATGAATGGCTTGCACCAGAACTCGACACTTTTTCTAATGCTTTTGAGATCAAAACATCCGTCAGTTTATCTATTTTATTTTCCTTCATCTCAGGTTTTTTCTTTTGGTTATTTTTCACTTTAACCTCTGTTTTATTATCCTCGCTTTTACTTTTTTTAAGAGTTTTATTTTCAAGAATATTGGCTTTAGCTTTAAGTTTTGCAGTCTTTTCATTAGAATCTTTAATGGTGCTAAAAGCTTCTGACAGAAAATTTTTTCTAAGGTCATTGATATTTTCTTCAGTCTTCATTTGAGGTTTGTTTGACTTTTGTATACTTTCCGGCTTTTCTAAACGCCCCAAAGCCTGTTTCAACAATTGTTTTTGTAAATCATCAATTTTTTTGTGTTTGGCTGACTTTAGGTGGTTATCTTTTGATTTTTTGTGTTTACCAAAGGTTGCCTTAAGTAATTTGCTTTTCAATGTTTCAAAGTTGTTCTTAACTTTCTTTTCCTTCTTCTTCGATGTAGCTTTGTCAACTCTTTTCTTATCTTTCAATTTTTCAGAAATAGCTTTGCTTTTACTGGGTTCCTTTGCTAATGAATTACTGTCGATAGTTCCCGAAAATTCAATGCCCGGTTTTTTCGTGGAGCATTGGCCTTCTTTTTTACTTTCCAAAAGCTTGTTAGCTGCCATTTCTAAACTACAGTCATTAGGTGGAATATCTGCGTAACAATTAAGCTTATTACTATGGGTTTTATTTTTTTTCTTCGGGACGTTTTCATTTTTATCTTCTGCACCATTGCCATTGTAAATTTCCAGAGAGGGTTGCTTTGATAAATGATTTTCATTTGACGATTTATGTTTTTTCTTAAGTTTTTTGGATGGGTGTAAATTTTGAGAAAAATCTGTAGCAGTTTCATCTGTTTGGAAACTATCATTGATATTTGCAACTGGATTGGTTTCATCAAATTTCATATCTTTTCTCTTCTTCTTATCTACGATTAAAGCCTTGCTTTGTAGGGATAATATAATGTTCTTCTCATCTTCCCTTCCTTTGATTGAATCTACTTCTTTTGTATGATGCTTCTTTTTTTTCTTTTTCTTACTTGGTATATCAGCTGTCTCTAAATTTTCCACAGCACCATTATTGACTTTATTAGTACTTCCGTCACCTTCTCTTCCTTCTTCTCTTCCTTCAGTGACAATACATTCATGTAGAACATCTTTTGAAAGGTCTGTAGCAGTTTTGTCATTTTGGAAACCCTCATTGACATTTAAATTTCGATTAGTTTCATCTGATGTCGTATGTTTTCTTTTCTTCTTATGGAACTGTTTTGGAATTATAGTTTCTGTATCTTTTAGTGTACTTGAAATGTCACCATCTACGTTTAAAGCCTCGGTTTGTAAATCTTCTTCTTTAGTATGATGCTTCTTCTTTTTCTTTTTCTTACTAGGTGTATCAGTTGTATCTGAATTTTCCATACAATTATCATTATTTACTTCATTAGTACTTCCATCACCTTCTCTTCCTTCAGTGAGAATACGTTCATGTAGATCTTTTGGAAGGTCTTTAGCGGTTTTGTCTTTTTGAAAACTCTCATTGAGATTTAAATTTGGGTTGGTTTCATCCGATGTCATATGTTTTCTTTTCTTCTTTTGAAACTGTTTTGGAATAATAGTTTTTGAATCTTTTAGTGTACTTGAAAAGTCACTATCTATGTTTAAAGCCTCAGTTTGTAAATCTTCTTCTTTAGTATGATGCTTCTTCTTTTTCTTTTTCTTACTAGGTGTATCAGTTGTATCTGAATTTTCCATACAATTATCATTATTGACTTCATTAGTACCTCCGTCGCCTTCTCTTTCATTTTGTGGTACATCTTTTGAAAGGTATTTATCTTTGATTTTTCTTTTCTTCCGGTTGAGATTTTGGGTGGTGCTTGTTAAACACTGTGGCTCTGTTGAAATGAAATCCGCCCCTTCATTAACAACCATACCTGCATCAGCCTCTTCCCCATGGCAACCATCCTTACTACTGTTCAGTGTGTTGTCCAGATATTCCTTATCTTTCCGTTTTTTCTTCCTTTTCTTTTTCTTTGCACTGCATCCATTATTATCATCCATCAAATCAGAGTTATTTAAAAATTTGGATGACTCATCTTCCTCTTCATTGATATCTGACATAATCAAAGAGCTATGAAATTTGTCCTTTTTCCTGAAAGTAATTTTACTAAATGATTGTTCAAAATCTGTGTTTAAGGATATGGTGCTTCCCTCCCTGTCCTCAGAGGATTTTTTCTTCATTGTTACATTAATTTTATTTTTCGCTGACTTTTTGGGGAATACTTTCCTAGTAGTTTGTTAGCTGAAACAGAAAAATTTGAGGTAAAAAATCAGTAATTTATTTAAGCGTGAATAATTGGAAGCACTAAATGTCATTTTATACAAAATAATGTCTTGATGATTGAGTGAAACCTAGAAATGTATTATACCAATCACTAATAAGATGCAAGAATGTGTAAGCAAGTGCCTATGAAGGATTTAAATAATAAAGTGGCCTGAAACAATAACATATGAAGATCTGTGGCAGCTAACAAATCAAGAGTTGATTGAAATTGCAATATAAATAAACGGAAATAGGTAAGATACACCTTGCGGAAGGGAAAAAGAGATATGGCTAAAGAACCATTGGAGAGGAACAAACCCTGCTGGAATTCAGGATAATGTGTAGACCTAGAAACACATTAAAAAGGACATTGAAGATATAAAGGAGAAAGGTAAAACCTAGGAAGATATCAAGAGGGAGGCAGCTTACTGAGAATAGTCGAGACTTATAATCCAGGAGGAATTAACGAGAGTCGGTATATCAAGGCAACAAAATGGCCAATGTCCATTTAATGGTTAATTGCATACACTGCAGGTTAGTCAAAATGCTGGTTGGTCATCACTGGTAGTTGAATAGATAACTTTGACAAAACTAATATTATTTTTTAATGTGAAGAGGCAGAACAATCTTATACCTGCAATAGGCAAATTAAAACACATTCTTAGCATTTTTAGGATTTTTTTAAAGGATAGCTGGCTTATCTGAACTGGCACAAGAAACACATGTGCACATTTCCAAATGCTGTCAGTGACAGTAAAATATTCTAATGTTTTGTGTAATTAGTGTAGTTTTGTGTTTTCCACTTTCCACAACTAAATATACCTTCCTCCAAAAATTTACAGTGCAGCCCTTGAGAAAAGAGGTTGGAGACCCCTGCTGTACGTTACATCCCTAAAATAAGCTTAGTGAATCAGCCTCGTTTGTATCCCCTCTATAGCCCTTGGTATTTAAAAGTTTGATTCTTAAAACAGGGTCTCCTATCAAACTTGAAATGAGCTTCATCTTTGTTAACGGTCATATTTCCAAATTTTTAGCCACATTGAAAAAGTCAAAGGTCTCAGACCGGGTACAGGAAAAATCAAGCCGGCAAAGTAGCAGACCTAAGGTAAATAGAAAGATACACAGTAGAGCAGCTGTGAATATACCTTAACAATGTTGCTGCAAGTGGTCGACAGCTGCCAGTTCAGTCAAATGCAATTCCAATTCCAGACCTAGTTCATAGATGGGCATCAAAGGAAAACAAGTGCTTTAAAACTAACTAAAAGTTTTATTTAATCATTTATAGAAATATTAAATGTAAGATTTTTTTATGAAAAACAACCATCCATGCAAATATTTATTCACCTTTGGTTGATAGATCCTTTAATATATGGCAGGTGACCAGTCAAGTCAACTTTGTCAATGCTGAAGGTCACGTTGTCACCAATGCTCAAATCAGCTCCGTCCCATTCATCGGCAGCAATTGTTGTTGGTCGTGGAATAGTAACGTTGAACAATTTATGGACAAGGCACCCAATATGGTCTTCACTCTTTTTGTTCACAATTCCTGAAACAATAGGATTGTTTGAGACCTTGTGTAAGTAAACTAACTATCATTGACCACTGCTTGTGAAGAGCAGGCCTATAGGCCCGTAGAAAAACTCCAGGAGGGAAACTCTGTACCTTGGAAGAAAATTCAGTCTTTTTAAACCAGCAGGATTTGTTAACTTCCAGTAGGGTGATAGTGGTAAACAATCAAAAATGTATCTTTGCATTACCACAAATAGGGGAATAATTTTATCTGAAAAAATTGCTTTCTTTAGTGATATAGGGAAGAAGCTTTTAACTCCTGAGGCTGTTGTATTTAACTGTGGCAATATTCTGTCATCACGGAATAATACATGACCATATCTTGCCACCGTGGCAACATCCATGATAATTTCTCCCAATTGCAGCCAATTCGGCGAGCACGGCAACATAGTAGGTAATCAATCATTTTCAGTGATTGCAGTTTATTTTTGAATTGAAATGACAACATTAACAACTCTTTGCAGCATAAAACTTTGATTAGGCCTAATGTAGGCACATCATTAGAACTTCATGAAGGTAAACTTGGAGTTATTGAGGCTTGTGAATCATAAACTTTGAGTTTAGATTATTGATCGCGAAATATTACAATTTGACGTATTATGAATGTTAAATAAAGTATTTCAGGTTGCTGGAATTCAATGAAATTATGGAAAATTTGAGATAACAGAAATAGGTTATCAAGGTCCTACTGTATTATAATGCAAGAAGGCCTTAACCACATTGCTGTCATAAAAAAAATTATTTGTAATTTTAAATTATTTTTTAGCATAGACTGTAGGTCATAATGATGCAGTTTACTACTAGATGGCAGTTTTTATCCACACATTATTCTAGAAAATCTGTGACAGCTGTCCGTCCCTTCAGTCTTCTGGCAATGCAATTTAAATCAACACATTAGGGTTGAATCATATCTATTAACAATCCTTATTAAAAAATACTAGGCCTAACTACTAGGCTACTTAAGTTATAATTCTCACCAGTAAGTATACTTCCAACTTTGGGTTTAAAAACGTAAACATCTGCGGTATAGTTGACTGGTATTTCAGGGATTCCTGGGATATCTTCAGCAAGAGTGTACACTTGGATGTTTTTGAAGCTCAAAATAATACCATCCAATCTGAAATAGATGTTAAATTGAAAATGTTTCAAACAAGGTTCTAAATGTGGTTTAGAGGCATTGGTAGGGTTTGGAAACTGTTTATTAACAAAAATGTAGAGTGTGGTTAACACTTTAAGCCATAAGCCTATTTTTTTCTCTGTTAAGGGGATATGGCACTGAAATAATGATTTTTTTTTTCAAAAAAGTGATTTTTTAAATTTGTCTATTATTTTTAGCGAATTTCCCATATAGGGAATAAGCTATTACCGTATTACTCATGGTAAGACCTGGACCCGGGACCGATTTTTTTTTTCGTTTTGAGGTCCCTAGAGGCCAAAAACACCATCCGTTCAAATTCATATATATATATATATATATATATATATATTTATATATATACTAGCAGAGTACCCGTCCTTCGTACGGGGTTGGCATATAATAAGTATAAATGCTTATTGTAGTTATGGGAGAGGACACGGTGTAAGAAAATTTGGTCTTTTAATTTATACGGTATCCTATAGTGTCCTACAGTTTATCTACCATAGCCCTAATTTTCTACCACTGCACCTAAACCATGAAAAAAGTTAAGTTCTCATTGTGTACCACAACTTTTTTTGCTAGTTGCTTAAAATTAGCTGTGGTCATAAATACAAAAAACATAATAGTGCTGCACCCTGTTGGTAAGCCTTATACCTTTTTAATGCTATTTAATATCATAGAACCAACTTGTGAAGTTGAAACGGCTGACAAAATTCTTTAATTTCTTTAAATATGAATACTCATAAGGTTTACATGAGAAACTCTAGAGCCAGAGCCACTGGGGCGGAGCCTGAAAGGATTTTTGAGGTAAGAATATGTCTATATTTTAATCGGGAATGTCAGCTATCATCATACTAAATTTCAACCTTGTCGGTTTTGTATTTTTCGCGTTTACTTGTCACAAACATCCATCCATCCATCCGTACATCCAAACTTTCTTACTTATAATATTAGTAGGATGAGTAAACTGTTGTAATATTGCTTGTTTATGGATCGATTTTTATCAAACTTGGCAAATGTATTGATTTCATAGTGAGCTAATGATATGTTCCTTAAAATCACACTTCGTTACCCTCCCTGTACGCAGCAAAAACCTAGGTACTCGTTAAACCTAATGTTATTGAATTAGATTTAATTGAAAATAAAGTCACACAAATGGAAATTTGCTTTGGCTGCAGGTTTGCTGCGGTGGGGGTATTATGGAATTGTAATTTATGTAGAAAGAATACTTTGTGGTAGTACATGATTAACTCTAATTCATATTAGATACCAAACAAATCAATCCCGTTTGTACAATTAATTAGTAGCGCCATTTGAACAGCTCTGCAAATCAGCGCTACTATTCGTATTTGCTAGCAGCTATCGTGCCTTGCAACGGGGTCAGTATGCAAAAGAGACAATGTTGGTTCTTAGAAACATGCCAAATGGTTTTCCAAATGCCAAATTTCGAAACAAAATTTAACTGTACTACTTAACTTGATAATTAATTAATAGTACGTTTTTGTTAACTCTTACTGTAATTACTTATTTATGCTACCTACGATACAAAACCAAAGATAGATTTTAAGGTATAATAAAAGAATGTATTTCATGGTTTGCACTGCAAACGAAAAGCTATCACAATAGTTCCAAATAACATATTTTAGTGAAATTATAATCAAGCAAATGGAAAATCGCTCAGTCTATAGATTTGCTGCGGCAGGGGGGTTATTACTATTTACACAAAAATAAATAAAAAAATAAACCTCATTAAACTCAGGATAAGAGCCTAGGTTGATACGGCAATGATTATAGAATCTTAATTATTTCCTATATCCATTAAAAATTTTTTTTACAACAAATTATTCCCTGTAAAATATTATTACAGCATATCACAAATATTAGAACAGACTCAGTATAATAGATCATAAACATAAACAAATGAAGTAACTGAAGGAATCATACTAATGAAATTTAAATTACATTAACATATGGTTTGACAGCTCCATTTAAGTAATGTTAAATAATGTTTACATTCGGGCTAGTGACATCATTATTTAAAATTTATAATCCTTACCCTCTCTGTTCTAATATTCGTGCAGTATTTAATATGTTTGAACCAGCTGTGTGGAATTATAAAATAAAAATTCATTTGACAGTTAGTTCTGCTTGTTTGCATTTTTAAACTTTGTAGGTTTGTTCTTTGTTACCATGGATACCATCAATCAATATTTACTTTTAAATCTCTCACCTCGATTTTTTGAAAGCCCACGGGGCAGAGCCCTAAGACAATATCGAAGCGGGAATAGTTCTATATGTATCCTCGGAGCTGTAGCTTCATTTGTGTGCAATTTGAGCCCAGTCTGTTCAGTAGTTTTTGAGATTACCTCATACAAACACACACACACACAGACACCACCTCTTCTTTATAATAGTACTAGCAGAGTACCCGTCCTTCGTACGGGGTTGGCATATAGGCCTAAGTATCAAATGCTTATAGCAGTTATGAGTGAGGACATGGTTTAAGAAATTTCGGTTCTTTTTGAAGTTCGTTCGCTACGCTCACTCACCTTTAGGTTGGAGCTCGTTCGCTGCGCTCACTTTCCTTCAGGTTAGCTCGTTCGCTACGCTCACTTGCCTTCAGGTTAGCTCGTTCGCTACGCTCACTCGCCTCCAGGTTGAAGTTCGTTCGCTACGCTCACTCACCTTTTGCTGTTGTCATAAATGTAAAAGAAATAATAGTGCTAGTGCTGAACCCTGTTGGTAATCCTTGTAACTTTTAATGCTATTGAACATCATAGAACAGAACCAACTTGTTTAATTGAAACAGCTGTTAAGATTCATTAATTCCATTTCTCATAAGGTTAACATGGGAAACTCCAGAGCCACTGGGGCGGAGCCCCGAAGGATTTTTTGGGATAAAAATATGCCTATATGTTAATCGGGAATGTGAGCTATCATCATGCCAAATTTCAGCCCGATCCGACCAGTAGTTTTTGAGATTAGCTCATACAAACACACACACGGACACCACCTCTTCTTTATAATAGTATAGATAGAATATAGAATAGATAGATAGATATATTTATATATATATGTGTCCGTTAGCACGATAACTTGAGCAAAAATGATCCGATTTTGATGAAATTTGGTACAAATGTGTAAACCTACGTTTATTCGAACGAGTTCGCGAACCAGCATGATCGGACCATGGGAACGGGGGTTTATGGGGGCTTTTATGGGGTAAAAATGGGTTTTTCAAATTTTTGACCCAAAAAACATAGAATTTTGCAATTTCTTTCTTAACTATTTTGTAGAGCTTAAAAAAACAAATAATTTAGTATATTGAAGCGTTATTATGCGCTAATGGTTACGGAGAAATTGTTAATTTAAAATTCCCATGTTATTCTTATGGAGAATAAGTAAACTGTTGTAGTTTGCTTGTTTATAAACATATTTTGCCCAAATTTGGAAAATGTTTTAATTTCTTACTAACTATTAACATTTTACATAAAAAAACACTTTTACCCTCCCTGTTGCAGCAAACCTAAGTATGTGTTAAACTGATTCTATTTAAATAGGGAATAAATCTGATATTTTTAAGGAGACATTTTAGTGTAAATCCAATCAGGCAAATGGAAATTCGCTTAGTCTGCAGGTTTGCTGCGGCGGGGGTTTTTATTTATAATGCTAAAAATAAGAAAAATTGGTCAAAAATAAAAATAATATATTTTTTGTGCTTAGGCTAAGAAAAAAATACGGAAGATATTTTTAAAAAATCCGGTCATTGACTTATTTTAGTAATAATAATAATAATTATCATTATTCTTAATATTAATTATATAATAATTAAGTAATAATTACATAATAATATAATAAATAATAATAAAATGCTTGCATAAACAAAAAATTGATCCATAACTCAACAATAAGTATCACCATGGTTACACTGCCAAGTGTAACTTTAGCGTGCGATTCCCGCTAATCAGTTTTTTGGCGTCTTTAACTACTAAATTTGATATATCTTCAAAACGGTTTATGCTACATGATTCAAATTTTTACCAAGTGTTTAGAATGTCATTATCTAAATAATTAGGTAGAATTGTAAATGTATGTCAATTCTAAAGTTAAAAAAGATTTTTTTATTTCCACAGAAAACCAATTTATTTTTTTTTTAATTACAAAATGACCCATAAAAAATTAATAATTAAAGATATTGTTATAATTCTACCTAAATATTTAGAGGGCATTATTCCCTGCAAACTGATGGTTTAATGATTAAAATCCAATAATTAGAACTGAAGTTACATCAAATTTAGTTAATTACTTAAAAAAAAACAAAAAAAAATATTAAGGGTGTAACTTAACGAAAAAAATTTACTTTTAACTATGTTTATACCTATTCTTATGCCTATAAAACACATGGTATAAGTTTGAAAGAACTAGTGATAATGTTAAGGAAATTAGCATTTTCAGTGCCATATCCCCTTAATACTTTTTAGGTTATGTCCTTATAAGGCATAATATGCCTTAAAAGACATATTATGTATTTTATCACGCTATTTATTTCAGCATGAATGTCAATATTAAACTAAAATAAAAGCAAAATAAACTGCCTGTATCATGGGTAAGCTTAAGAGTAACTATGAAATTGTATGGGGAAAATCACAAAAGTTGCAATATAACTTTTGAACCGTCATTTTTACAGCAATAGCTACACGCGCACACTACGACGGCACGGCACGGACGGTCGGCCGGCACCGCAATTTTTGAAAGTTAATAACATTGAATGTAATATGAGTGTGCCCACTACGGCAGAACGGCCGGCAACAGACGTTTGGCTGTTTGTTAAAAAGTCCGGGAGACAGAACTCTAGGACATTTCCGAGCTGCCGTACCGCCCGTACCGACCGGGAGCACTGCTCACCGACCGGGCGGGCTGCATGGGACTTCTGCCATTCTCAACTGGTCTCTGTCAAAGTAGCAGTGTTGTAAACATAGATGTTAGAAAGTTGATTGCTCTCATTGAGAAATATCCGAAACTGTACAACATGCGACATCCGGAATATTTTAATAACGTCCGGCGTGAAAATATATGGGCAGAAATAGGATGTATTATGAAACAATCAGGTAGGTTTTACACTTCATCCTCTACAAGATCAGATACAAGGTGTGGAACTCTCCAAAACTTAGTCTTTTCCTGTTTATGTAGTGTATCCAAAATCGTTGCTTCCGCCTTCTTGTCTCCTCTTCCTCTGCTAAAATTAACCCTCCGAGCGTCACTCGTCGAAAAATCGACTCACGACACACTTTGTGTAGTGTCACGCGTTGATTTTTCTACACACGAACATCGTTTACGGCGAAGGCTCTATGACTGACTGAATCGGATTGAACTGGATCGAGTTAGGTATCGTTCTTTTCGTTAGATTCTAAGCTTTCTCCAGAGGTCTGTCTCTAAGCGCTTTATGTTCTCCGAGCCGATCGTAATTGTAGCAGACAGCTGACGTTCGTGTTTTAGACAACTTGGTTATTTCACATGGGTGACTTGTGTGTTTTAGTACGTTTATCGTCGTTTTTAGTGGTAAAAATGGACAGTACTAGTGATATACGTAATGCACTAGACGATGATATTAGTGATGTTGAAGGACTTATTGACGATCCGGATGAAGTTGGTAGTGATATTGAAGTTAATTATCAGCCAGATTCCTAGCTATGGTTAGGCTATGCATTCTTAGCTAAACGCTATGTACTGAAATCTGTTTTTTGCCCATAACTTATTTATTTGCAAATCTACTTCCTTATATTATTATATATTTGTAATCCTCATAAAATTTAGAACAAAGTGGCTATTTTCAAATATTTATAGGCCTATAATTTATACAATTTCATTGAGCGCAAACTTATTTTTTTTTCAATTTTTCCAAAATAATTTTTTTTTCACCTAAAAAGTTTTTTTGAAACAAATATTCCTTATGTTTTATGTATGATATTGAAGCCCATGATTTTCCAAACAAAATGGTATATAGAACAGTAGAATTAACATTGTTTTAAGCTTCTCAGATCCGTTTTAATAAAACCTTGCAAATGCGCCAAAAATAGGTGGACATTAAGGCCTAAACTATGGACACTCGGAGGGTTAAACCCACTATCACCACTTTATCTACATCCATCTTTAGTCACAAGTTTTAGCTCACAGACTGTCAACTGTACTAAATTGCGGATGTACGGATGTCCCGACCCGTGCCGCCCTAATGCGCGTACCCCCTCTTAAAAATGCCGTCTGTGCCATACCGCCTATCCATGCCGTGCCGCCATAGTGCGCGCGTAGCTAATGGGAGTTGTACCATTTTGCTTTGAGTTATAAGGAATAGGCCTAAGATGGCAAACATAATTTTAATCAATCTTTCTTTTTTTATGGGTCTTCATAGGAAATTCACATAAGTTACAATAACTTTTGAACTATAGTTTTTCTACTGATGGTACTGTTTTTTCTTTTTTTAGTTGAAAGGGCTACAGTACAACGTATTAAATTTTAGTCAAAATCCTTCAGGCAGTTTACGTGAAAGATAGTTTTTTGTCATTTTATCGGTTTTTATTGAAAAATAACTGTTAAAAATGAAAATTTAAAAAAAATTAAAACCGCCTAAAAATACCATGGATTCCTACCCAACCAAATACTAAATTTCATCAGCTGGACACACACATACACAAACACACCTTAGATATATGCGGGTATGGGTGACTCAGGAGACATATGTAGAAACATTAAAAAAAAGATCCCAGCTTCTAAAAAATTATAAAAAATTTACAAGAAATATTGATTAATATTGAACTGTTATAAACAGCTTAGTTACATAAGCTTTTAGTTGAAGTCTTTTAAACTCATCGAAAATTATGACTGTTATTAGATTTAAAATAACTCCTGGTAATACAGGTACTTGAAAATGCTCAATTGTGAGCAACAAGTACACCAGTTACCCATAAATTACCCTTTTTATAACTCTTTAACTGCCCTTTTCTCCCTAACATTAACCACATTTTAAGTCTCCCCGACCAAAAGCCCCAAATTCCCACTGGTCCCCTAGTAAGTTAGGGTTTCTATGTATGGGGCATCATATAGGCTACCTACCTACCTATATTTAGGCCTAGGCTTATCTAACTTAAGTTATCTATATTGTTAATACGCTAGGTTACACATGAAACTATGTACACAATAAGTTATGGCTTTTTTGTTTTAAGATTAAACCCCAAATATTATATACCAAAATGTTCGTCTAGGTACGTAGATTTGCAAATTGACCTTACATTTTAGAAAAAGTCCCTTGGGCTCAGCCCCAGTGGCTTTAAAAAAAGTTCCCATATCCTTATGAAGGAAATAACTTATTTGTTTACATTATGATCAGCTGGATGATTTAATTGCTGTTAATATTTTATTTTTTCAAATTTAAGGAAACAATGCTACAAACTTATTTATTGGCTTGGTTGAAATGAAATTACTATTTGAATTTGTGTTGACGTAAATATTACAATGGAAAAAAGTGAGAAAGCTTGGAAAATGTTGTGTAATAAATAGAAAACTGAATTAACACTGTGCTGCATTTGAAACAAATAAACACATAGGCCTAACCCTACTTTACATACCCATCGTCATAAGTCGTGATTTCAGAGTCCAAACATTCCTTTACTGATTCCTTGAGATCCGTTAATTGGCAGGGTTTTAAATATAATTTTCGATTGCATTTTACACTACGCTTAACGCAGGATTTTTTATCAGCGATCAAATTATTTAATTCACTAACCTGAAATTTCGCGCTTATAGTCACCATGTCGTCACTTTCGCCATAATTTTCTCTTGATTTTTTTTTTCAAACTCATTTCATTTTCACACATCCAGTTCCATGTTTATTCTCTTTCGTTACGCAGAGAGTTGTTTTGTTTTTTGATTGTGGCGTAAATACAATCATGTAGCTTCACAGTTAACTCCACATAACTTCCTTGAAGAGGCTATGCAATATGCATTGATTATATGCATAGCCTCTTTATCTTTGTCTAATTTTGTGATTCATGATAATCATAGATTTATTAGTCCTAACCGCGAATTAATTATTTTCTTGATTTATTTATTTTATCTTCTAACGGTCGATAACCGTTTTTCAGCATGGTTTGTAATGATGAACATTTCATTATTTATATGCATTGGTTTGTTTATTTTAGAATAGTTTGACGTTACCTATTGTATTTATTACTTAATGGTATAATAAATCTCTTGAATCTCTCTCTTGAATCTTGAATCTCTTGAATCTTGAACCAGTTGACGATGAACATACAAAAATGGCATAGCCTATTCTAACTTATTTTTACTTTCTCCTCCTATAACATCTTAGTAGGCCTATCCTGTAGTCACCCTGTAGTCCGACTATGATTGAAATTTTGTATGTAGCCTAGGTACTAAGCCATGGTATCTCCAAACTTTTTTTTCCATTTTTTTTATTTTAATTTTTAATAGGGATTTTCCCGTAAAAAAAACATAAATTAGCAAAGAAATTTAATTTTCTAAAAAAGGATTTTGGTAAAACTTTATGTTATAGTATGTATAATATGTTATATATATGTTATAGCCCTTTATATTCTGAATAAAATTGTACAAATCCCATTTCTGAGAAAAAAAAAAACAGTCCAAAAGTTATTGTAATTTATGTTATTTTCCCATTTAACCCATAAAATAACGGAAAATTGGATTTTCAAGAAACCAACAACCAAGGGGTGAGCTGTCCCCAACCAAGGATCTTAATATAAAAGTTTTTCACCAGATTTGCTGTTACTCTATGTGAATTTCAGTTATATTACTATGAACCGTATCGTATCTATTCCTCTTTCTACTGTGCTTTATTACTCCCGTGATGTCTGTTTGTGTTTGTAACTGTTTATTTTGTTTTTACTACAGACAGATTTGATTACAGTTTTTGTGTATCCTAGTTTTGTTTTTGTAAAAATTTGAAATTGATACTGTAAATTTTTTATTTCTTAAGTTAGTTGGTTACTTGCCTTCTTGAGAAATATGGAAGATGAAGATGAAATTGATGTTTTGGGAGAATTCAACCTAGAAAATATTCTAACAAATAATGAACAAATGTAAGACAAGTTATGCATCCTCTTACTTTTTCATGTTTGTGTCTAAGATAGGGCCTAGAACTACTAAGAGTTTTCCACTACATAAGTTAATAAGGCTTATCCAATCCATCATACCTGGTGAGACAAAGAAGGCTAATCTGTTTTACTCAAACCAAACCATTTATCTCAGCCTGGCCTAGGCCTATTTAAGATTTAAGTTATGTCTGTTGACTTCCGTTCAGTTACGATTAGGCCTTATGCGATCTCATAAATTGATTTATCAAGTTTAACATTACCGGTATATCAAGACGACCCGATATTTATTAGGCCTGAATATGAATTCAGACTTTGCATATTGTAGCCAAAGCCTAAGTTATCCTTTAGTTAAGTTAAGGGAAAATGTTCAAGGAGCCAAGGACATTGGACATTGTTGGGTTTAAATACAAGATCCCCAAAGAATCAAGGTGTATTACAGCATATATCCTATGATTACCGTGTATTATGAAGTTTTAAGTTTATATTTCCTCAATGTTAGGCCTACTAAAATCTGCGATTTTAAGTTAATATTTGAGAAAAGAAAACTAGCCTAGTTATAAGATCATGGACTTTTCCTTTAAGTTCATAATTGAGAAAAGATAACTAGGCTAGATTTTAGTTATAGGTCATGGACTTTTCCTACGCTAACATAAGTGTTTTAACTACATTTTGAGAAGTTTCAGAAGGCAAGGATATTCCTCTCGTTTTCAAGTGATTACAGTAGGCCCCAATTTAAAAATTACTTAATCTAAAATGGTGACCATACGAATGTAGGTATTTTTAGCCAAGTTATGAATGGAGAGTGAACGATGAGTAGTCTTGTTAGTGACTAAGGCCGACATGTTACTTAGACACAGCTGTTAATTAATAGTGCATACAGCAAACGGCAACTAAGGGACCTAAAGTTCATAAGTAGTGGAATCAGAACCACAGTTTTGCCTTGTAACATATTACATGTACATTCAAGCCGTAGGCCTCTTGGTCTTCTTCCTGTGAGTCACCATGGAGGTGAGAAACAGCAGCCGACATGAGCCCTATGTCTAGAGAAGGTCCCCCATTTCTGGATCACTGACACCCGGCAACCCCTTGTACTAATTAGTTTGGGTCCGCGGAATTGGCTAACTCTGGAACTCGCTAACCCCATGTTAAATGCCCTATCTTCAAATTTGGTCGATGAGAGGAACTCGCTAACTTGTTCGGTTTCGGAATTGGCTAACTCCGGAACCCGCTAACCCGCTCTAGAGCCGGGTTAGCGAATTCCGTTCTCGTACGGAAGTCGCTAACTCGGTCCCTCGGCGGAACTCGCTAACTCCCAATCAGAAGCCTCGCGGGCCGTCCAATGGGAGCCAAGCACGAATATTTTTGGCCAGTGTTGCCGAAAGTGTAGTACCTATATCGTATCGGCACCATAATGTCGTATCCTACGCTTAATTAGGAGTAAGAGCAACGTAGTCGATAAAATAAATATATTTTGAAGTATGTTTAACCACAGAGAAGTTCTTATGATTATTAGGGTGGAAAATGCATTATAGTCTTACCATAGACTAACCAACACAAGTAAACTTTACATCCCATTGTAAACTTTGAAGCTCGTTTTTCGTGTCTAGTTCATGTCCGGTGACACTGATCGCTAGTGTCGACAAAATTGTGTTTCTATTATTTTATAGTTAACTTCATGATTTGTTCCTTACTGTTTGGTTATATAACTAGGGGACGTGTTATTAGTTGTGATTAGAACATTTTATTTGGTTAAACGAGGTTTTAAATTACTGAAAACAAGAAAAAATTGTAAACAAAACACGACCTCTAAAGACAGTACACCGGACAGAACTAACAATACAACTGTCTTCAGATCATCCATAAGGATGAGAAATGTACTAATATAAGGGAGTATGTTTTATATGTGGGTTTCTTACTTAAATAGTAGCTTATTGGTATGAAAAAGATAAAAATGCACATTTAATTTGGATCTATTACATGTTATGAAATATCTATTTTCGTAGTCCGCCATTTGTTTCTTTTATTCGAATAAATACCATTTTGTGAACTTCTGCAAATAAAATTGTTGAGTTCGTATTTTATATACTGGGCTTGTAGTAACCTTAAATCATAAATCATAATAAAATTTACACGTTAAACGTCATTACAGAATTACATTGTAGTGGTTATGTATTTTTAAATAGAGCTATTGAATTTAAATAAATATTTATCAATACATTATAAAGTGGTAGGCCTAATGTATTCATGGATTGCATTGAAAGTTAGTCTATGCATAAATACAACTTGTAAATTTCTTTATCGCAGGCTATTAGTGTAGAACCCGTGTCATCCTCTTAATTTTGTTGAATTAATATTAATTTTACTTCTTTCAGTAGGCTTACTTTTTAAAAGTCTGGAGTTTTTTTTCCAGGCTGGTTCTATCTTATCCAAAAACAAAGCTATTGTCTATTGTGTAGCTCAGTACTGGGGAACAGTGAACCGAGCAATGGCTTGCTATAGTTTATATCGTTTGTGAAAGCAATATAAAGGAAACCCAACACTCAAATCAGGAAAATCCGTCAATTAGTTTATTAAAAATCGTGAATTAAAATAACCCTGTCACGTTTTATTATATGAATATTATATCTTCTCCTATTTTTTACTAGTGGTGCTTAGGTGTACAATCTAAAAACTGTTTTAAAACATGTAACATTATTGCTAAAAAATTCAACACATTTTAGAATTAGGCAACTATTTACTAGTAGGCCTACAATGCTTTGGTTCAAACTATTAGGCCTAGATAAAAACTTAGTCTATGTCATCATATTTGTACACTTAAGTTGGACGGTTCAACGACGAACATTTAATTTAAAATCTATGAATTAATTATGAAAGTTACAATGGTTGATGACTGTATTAATTAATGGTTTTGGTTTGTTACGACATTACAATTAAATCTGTTTTCCGTGTTTAAGAACTTGCGTGTATTTTAGCTTATTTTCGTAGAGGTTTAATTATTTATTACCAATTAAACTAAATTTTGAATATTTTTCATATTCTATTATTTTCTTTTATACTGATGGCATTTATATTTAAGATCGAAATCATAAACATTTAACTGGCCATTGTACAGTTTAATAAAAAACACTTTTTCATGATTTTTTAATTGTCTTTTAATTACTTTGGGCTAGTTATCTGTTAAAAGTGAAATTGATAAAAAAAAAATAACATTTACTGTATCTTTATAGACACTGACATTTTGAAATACGGCAGTGTACGATTATTTTGTCGTACAAGGTTGGCAACGCTCCGAGCAGTGGGCGCGGCCGGGTTAGCGACTTCCAGAGTTAGCGAATTCCGCCGCGAGACAAAATCGAGTTAGCGGGTTCCGGAGTTAGCCAATTCCTGACTGAGACGGTTAGCCAGTTCCAGAGTTAGCCAGTTCCGCCACACGACCGAGTTAGCGAGTTCCTGAGTTAGCCAATTCCTACGTCTCATTAGTTTGGTTTGTGTGGCTTGTTCAAGTAGTAGGTTAGTTACTGTGAGTGTGTTGTGGTTTTTCCAGCTACCATCTGGAGGATTTGGAGTGAGAAGTTTTGGTTTTAGTTTCATTTTGTTTATAGTAGTGTTTGGTTTTAGTTTGATAGGCCTATTGTTTTTGTGTATTTTTTTAGGTTATTTAATGAATGTAGGCCTATAACATGTAACCAATGTGGGAAAAAGCCTCTAGGAAGGTGAAGTTAGATAGGATGGGTTAATAACTGTAGACTAATATTTATCACTTGAAAATGTGAGGAGTATCCTATCCTCAACTCTCTAAACATAGTGTGTAGTTAAACTCGTAAGTTAGCGTAGGAAAAATCAATATACTAAAATAAAAATACTGGTACAAAAATTATTCAAATCGGTTTTATTTTCGCAGGTATGAGCCTGTAAATATTAAATAATTAGAGTAGCCTAGGCCTAACTAATTTAAAAGTCTTCTACAGCACGGTATATATTATATACTTTCTCTGCATCTTTGCCTATAAATTAACAACCATAGAGTATTAGCTTGATCTTAGTAACACAAGGCTTAGTTTGACTTAGCGTAATTCAATTTTACCCTTACTATTTTATTTAAACAATTGTTTGAGTTACCAGTAATTATTAAGATATTTTAGGCTAATTATTGTTTCAACTTTTCCAGAACATCGTGTTATGATGGGGAACATCAGTTGGGTCTTAACTGTGATTCTTCATGGATGCTGGATTCAACTCAGTCGTGTTGGTATAACAGCAAGTCTGAGCCTCAGCCTTCCTTGGAAGAGTTCCCATCAACATTCAATGCTCCAGAATTAACAGACAGTAATGCTTGGTCTGAAAAGGAGAAATATTTATTGGAAAAAGGCTTGGTAAGACTTTTTAAATTTAATATATACATATTCTAGTTGAACAAGTGCTAATTATTATTGCAGCTTTAACAACTGTTTTAAGTAGTATGTTTGCTGATGCGGAATGATTGAAAATCCGGGGATTCTACTGAGCGTTGTCTAAGTTTTACATTAAAGTCAATTTTTTAGCATTTTAGAAATAGGTGCTTAAGTAGATTCAAAAAGGTTAGAAAAAGGTGCCATTTAACTGATAAAATCCTTTGCCTGCAAACTTCTCCGAACTAACCAAAACATTGCCAAACTGGTCTGAGACTTTAAGAGTAAAAAAATCCCCTTCAACTGATCCCAGATTATAGTGACTTACTATTAGGTATAAAAGTTTCTTAACTTGAAGTTAACTGTGCTAGTCCTTTTTCTGTACCCCCTACATGAAAAATATATTCTGATATGTAAGTTAAAGGTTGCAATAATGATAGCTCTAACTTTTAAAAATAAGACATGAATTTTGAATAGGGCAGTACTTACTTTAATGGTGCTCTGTTTCAGGAGCTATTTGGAAGGAGTTATTCCCGTTTATCTCAGTATATCGGGACAAAAAGCTCAAGCCAAGTGAAGTCTTACATGTCTCATCAGAAGTCACTCGGATTGGGCTGGATTGGCAAGAATTCTGTGTCGTCATCTACCGTTGGGGTTGACGGGATGGATTTCAACTTTACCGAAATAATCCATGATATAGAAATACCTGCATCAATGGAGGAAGTAAGTTAATCCTATCAAAAGTGCTTTTAAGAGATCAAAATTATATTAGACACTCTCGATACTCGAATGCATAAGCCAATGGGATCAGGACATTGTCGGACTATAGATCATAAAGTATGAATAGAACAACCAAAAAATCATTATGTAAATAGAAATGTTTATTTTGCAGAGACAGAGACACAAAAATAATTTCTGAGAATTGCCTTTTAATTTTTAAGACACACGAATCAAACTTAACTTAATCTAATCAAATTTTCTTTGTGAAGAGTCGAAACTTAAGTGCACATAATATAGGCCTACTCAAATTTGTATGTGTGCTTTGGGTAGAATACCCGTACATTTTGATCACAAATACAACAATACAACCAAACACCAACCAGCATTATGAGTTAGCGTTTCAAAAGAGTGGTACAGCACATTTATCTCCACTATGGCGCACAAATAGACACTATGGCGATTGATCCTACATATGAATTAATAATGATGGACTATGGAGATTCTACTGTAGTTGAAATTTTCATGATGTTAACGTAGAGATTTTATTTTGCCAAGTACACTTCCTGTAAAACAAAATAGCTTCAAGCGTAGGCTTTTCCACTTTCTTATGAAGTCACATTGTTAAATAACAGGGTAATAACCATAATGTTTTGATTTTGGTAAACTGTATTCTGGTATGATACGCAAATTATATTAAATGACACATACAAGCTTAGCGTTTAAAATGTGTAGTTGGTTTGTACTTACGAGTGATTAGTTATACACTGTTAACTTACCAAGATTGTGCTGCTAATTTGTCTTTTTGTGGTTGTATGATGGAGTTTTTGTTAATTTCTTCAAGGTAATAGCAGTCGTCAGTACAGCTCAGCCAACTGTAATCCTTCCGACTTCCAACCGAGAATCAAGCTCAACGTCAAATTCCTCCTTAATCAGGTAAACTGAATCATAAGTGATAAATTAAAATGATTACCGGTACCTTATCCAACCACAGTTGGTGGTATGAAGACTAGTTCCGTTCATTAGAACTTCATCAGGTCATTTTGTATGCAACAACATCATCAATGTATTACACTGTGGTATGTCAATAGATTCTTTTAAAAAACTGTCACAATCACAATTATTGAAACTTGTCATGTTGATAAGATAGTTAAAATGGAATAAACATTGAAAAAAAAAGCTGATTAAAACGGTACAGGCTGTCCAGCACTGTCTTATCACTGCCACAGACTAAGTAAAACTGACTGAATCATGATGTTTCTTCTTCTCTCCAGTGCCACCTGTATTTCAGTTTGTTTTGTTATTCTTATTTTTACTTCTTTGATTTGTAACTTGCAAATATATGTATCAAATATAATATTTGACTAAAGAAGTCTGATAATTTAAAATGTTACATGGGTAGAGTTTTTTTAGCTTTGTAGACTGGTGAATTCTTTTTAACTTGAAACTTTGAAACTGGTGAAATCTTGAAACTTTTTAGTAATAACTAGCTGGCCCGACAGACGTAGTCCTGTCCTAATGTGGTTTTATGTCAAATGCTCGTTCATTTTCAAGATGAGCTCGTTCGCATGGCTCAATCACGTCCTGGTTAAAGTTTGTTTGCTACGCTCACTCAACTTTAGGTTGGAGCTTGTTCGCTGCTCTCACTTGCCTTCAGGTTAGCTCGTTCGCTACGCTAACTCGCCACCAGGTTGAAGTTCGTTCACTACGCTCACTCAAATTTTGGTTGCAAATTAATTACCTCTTGTCATAAATTAAAAAAAATAATAGTGTTGCACCCTCTTGGTATACCTATTAACTTTTTAATGCTATTGAACATCAGAGAATCAAATTGTTTAGTTGAACCAGCTGTTAAGATTCATTAATTCCATTTAAATAAGAGTACTCATAAGGTTAACATGGGAAACTCCAGAGCCACTGGGGCGGAGCCCTTTTGACGGATCTGCACCAAAATTCACACAAACCATCCTTGAATAATGCTTAATAATTCCTGAAAGTTTCATTACAATCTGTCGTGCGGTTTCGGAGTCCATAAAGGACAAACAAACAAACATACATTGAATTTTATATATATAGATTAATCTATTTCCATGTTCTTATCAATAGATGTATGGTTGTGTGAACAAAATGTACACAACAAAATTTATTTGTTTACAGGAAAAAGTGTCGTAGGAGAAAACATTCTAAATCTTGTTCGAAAAAAAGTCAAGCTCCTGTTTCTGACTTCAAGGATGTTGCCCGAATATACAAAGCTGAAGACATCAAGGACGTGTTAACTGGCAATAAGGAGCAGGATTCAATAGTCTTACCTACGGGAGAACAAGTGGTCAGTGTGAATGTTAAATTCCTTCCCTATGCATACAAGTGTATTACAGTATAGTATATCGCCTTTACCTCCCTTTTCTAATTTATATTCAAACTAGCAGGGTACCCGTCCTTCGTACAGGGTTGGGATATAAGTATAAAATGCTTATTGCAGTTATACTCAAGCTTTGCGTTTGCATTGAGGAAGGACACAGTTTGATAAAATTTGCTTCTTTAAATTTACAGTATTTTATAGTATTACACATCTACCATAGCCATAATGTTATCCACTTCACCTAAACAATAGAAAAAAATAAATGATCAAAAAATCGCAAAATATCACAAAATATTCATGAAAATAAAAACAAACATAACTGTAAACAATCCTACTTTGACAGTTAGTTCTCATTGTGTATCACAGTTTTTCGTTGCTGCTTAGTTCAAATTTGCTGTTTTCATAAATGCAAAAAAAATATAGTGCTGCACCCTGTTTGGTAAATCTTATAACTTTTAATGCTTTTGCTTATCATAGAACCAACTTTTTAAGAACCAACAGCTGACTAAATTCTTTAATTCCCTGTGATTGAACTTAAAACAAACAAACACACGAACTTTCAAATTTATAATATTAGTAAGATATTGATTTATTTACTCATAGTAGGGCAAACAAAACCAGCCAGCAAAAGCTGATATTCAGATAATGGTTGTGTAAGTCTGAAAATCTCTGTTCATATGTCCCAGGATACTGGGTTATAATCTTGCTAATCACCTATGGCTGTTTATTTCTTGTCACTCCTTAGCGGAGCACAGGGCCTTTACGATTCCACTAACAGCGCCAACGGACACGATTAGCAGCCAATGCCTTTACTTCTCTCCAACTCTTTCCCGCCTCTCTGATTTCGCTTTAATTGATTGATTTCGTCCTCCATATTTTTCTCGGTCTTCCTCTCTTCCTTTCTGGGTATTCCAGCTCAAAGCCTGTTTATCTATGGCGTCTTGATCCTTGCGCAGGGTGTGTCCTATCCATTGCCATTTCCGTTTTTGTTAATTTGTAGATCTATGGGTTTCTCTTTGGTGGCTGTCCACAAGTCTTTATTAGAGATTGCGTCTAGCCAATGGATTCTTAAAATTCTTCGTAAGCACCGGTTCACAAATACCTGTAGACAACATGAAAGTTTGTGATTGCTAGAGAAACTTTCCATGTTTTACACCAATAAAGTAAAACTGACTTTACGTTGGTGTTAAATATTCTTAACTTTGTTCTGGTCGATACATCTTTAGCTCTCCAAACTGGGTATAGTTGAACAAATGTAGCATTTGCCTTCTTGGTTCGGGCCACTACATCATCATCCGCCCCTCCATTTTTTGTCAACACACTTCCTAAATATGTAAAAGAATCCACTTCCTCTATCTCTTCTCCAGCCATTTTCAACATATTGTTATTTACTGGATTAATCCTCATTGATTTTGTCTTTTGGACATTCACTTTCAACCCGGTTGCTTTCTCTTATTTTTCAAGATCTGCAAGTTTTTCTTCCACATCTTTGAATCTGTGGGATAAGAAACATATGTCATCTGCAAATGCAAGCTCTTTACTGGTGTAGACCTTAGGAAATACCCTTTCCTTGTCTCCTACTTATGTTCCCCAATACCTGGTCCAACACAACCAAGAAGAGGGTTGGTGACAAGACACAACCTTGCCTCACCCCTAGCTTTACCTCTATCGGGTTGCTTAAATGTCCATTGGGTATTATTTTGCAACTGTAGTTCTTGTACATTTCTTTCATTAGGTAATCATTTTTCCAGGAATTCCTAATCTTGTCAATCCTCTCCATATTTGATCTCTTCTGATAGAGTATAATGCTTTCATAAATTCTTCAGCTCTGAAGTACTAAATAAATGTTGTTTGCCTAAATCTGTTCAAAGAAATTGTGATGCGAAATTTTAACTTAAACGGTGTACAGGTCAGCATTATTAATTTTAAATTAGCAAAGTATATCCTAATTTAATATCATAGTGGAATATACATTTCTGCAACTGGTAGAGCTGATTCAAAATAAGAAAAAAAAAACTGCCCGTTGCATCACTGACATACTGGATAATACATTTTTTTAAAGACCATTGTAGTCAAATCATAAAACATGAAAGAATAAAATATTACGCAAATTTAAATAAAGCAACTAAAGTAGAACCAAAAAACTTATGCAGAAGTTTTAATGTATTGTGCTCTACGTTTACACCGACCTATAACTTACCACTTTGTTCATTTTCAGATAAGAATACGTCACGAATCAAATGTCAGTGAAGACGGCGAGGTAGATATTGATGTCAACTCTGAACCTGACACTAAAGAAAGTATTGATATAAAGATTCCTGTAGAGAATAAAAACTCACAGCCGCTCACTAAAGAAACTATTGATCCTGTGGCAGAAAGTTCCGAAGAAGTAAAAGAAGAGGTGTTTGAGTTTGAAGAAGACGCAATCATAGATTTTTCCGATATCAAAGATGAGCTTTTCCTGCCCGATGTTGCCACTGAGGTGTCAGTTTTTACAGAGGGTTTTATTGGGGAAAAACCAACGCCAGATGTGGAAACTGACACCCAGGTGTTTAAAGGCAACCTTGTTACGCCAAGTGGGAAAGTTATGACTGTTATTGTCGACGATCTTCCAAACGCTCGTTATAATAATGTGGCAAATGGTAAGTAAAGTTTTCATGTTTAGATTTGAGCAGGTCATATAAGCTATTTTGTATTATCTACAGTGGTTAACTGAATGAGACTGGTACATTTCATTGCTGCTGTAATAATTCATACAAGGAGACCCATGAGCAGATATCACATTTTAGTAGAGTTTAATTCTTGTTTTAGAGGCAAAACCCTTAGGCCTAATGATATTTATTTTTACCTTTCAATGATAATGTTTGTTTGAAGCAGTTATTAGCCAATAGATGAATAAACCTACTAATTAACAAAAATCATTTTTTATTGTAGATCCATACCATAAAGAGTGATTGACCTACCTCAATCAGGTTACAATTTCAGTAAAAGTAGCCAAGGCTATTAAAAATCCTTTCACTTACTGTTTTGTTTCCCGTTTACTATCTGACTGTGATTAAACGTTCAACTGAATTACAATTCACGATTTAGAAAGGAAGTTCTTCAGAATCACTGGATCTTTGAAAATAAACTAAATAAATCAAGCGGTAGGGGAGCGAAGCCCCAAATGAAATTACTTTTTTATTTACCATTTGTTAGATCAGAAGCTTTAGGGCCGGCGCGCACTATCCCGACCACGATGTTGAAGAAGTAGCTGCTGTGGTGCATTTGTATCGTAGGTACGTTAATTGGAAAAAGAAACGCTACTGGGTACATCCAATGTTAACAGTCAGGTCTACAAAAGGGCAGTTTGCAACAGTGTCAAACTCCTGCGACATTTTACCAAATAACTCACTTCACAGACCGGCGCAAAAAGCAAGTGATCACCGGTTGATTGATCTAGGAATACTGGGGGTTGAGTGGTGTACTGGTCGGGTCGGAGGCAAGTCGGGGGTAGTGCGGGTCCTCCCATTACATTGTGTGCTATTTTTGGCTGCAACGGCCAGCGGGTCGGGCCTGACCAAACTTGAAAACTTTGGACGTGCGACCAGGGTCCGACCAGTTGACCAGTGCGCGCCGCGCCGTTCCTTTTATTCCTATTATAAAACTTGTCGTATCCGACCAGTCGGAGTCATGGTCGTGGTCGGGATAGTGCACGCCGGCCCTTAAAATGACACCTAATCGTAAAAATCGGATAATTAGGACGGGAAACATGCTACAGAGAATCCTGTTATCGTAGTAGTTATACAATTATTTACCAAACAATGTATGATAGCAATCTTCTTGGAGGCTGGTGGGACCTTGGGTTAGGTACTACTGCAAATACTAGTGAAGACAGGTCTTAGACCAGTCATGTGACTGTGTGAATGAAACTCTGTGAATGAATGGCTTGTGTAGTGAACGATTGTCCTTTAAGCCTTACCTGGTAGGGTAGCTTAGCCCACAAAATAAAAGAAGCAGCGCTAACTATAACAGTAGAAAATTGATTCAAACTGGCTCTACACTTTGATCTCAATAGTCATTTTAAGGATCTATGTTGATTCTTGAAGTCTAAGTAAAAACCCAAAATTGTTCAAAAGCCCATTTGTGGTCCAAAATTCAATCTAGCTTATTAACATCCTTTATCCTATTTGGAGAGACTAATAAAGAATTATCCAGTATTAGTACCATAACATGGAACTCTTACATTAGTGCTTATAGCATTCTATGGATAGGCCTAATTCTTAACTGATAATGTTGGTTGACAGAAAAGTCGCAAGACTCCGCGCCACTTGCCACACAAGACCCGCTGTTGGATGCAGTCTACGATCTTCCTCCCCCCACCTGTGAAGCTGTTCTTCAAACTTTCATAGTGACAAAAGAAGAGCAGCTTCTACACCCTGAGTTTTTTGATAAAAACTTCCATGGTTTAAGCCGCTACATGAAGGTATGTGAGAACCGATTTGATTTTTACAGTTGAGATAATATATTGCAATTGATAACAAATGTTCTTGGTTTCAAAAGGGTTTGGTCTCAATTTTTTATGGCTTGGATTCAAGATATTAAGTTTGTAAATTTTACCATTAGGTCCCTTCTTGACCATGGGAAAAAATGTAAGGTGAGAAAGATGGCTAGTAGGCCTTTTGGACTTATAAGTTTTGTGTTTATAAATTCATATGCAAACTAGCCCAAAACTAATTACCTATATTTTGTTTTTATTTTTAGATCCGCAATCACATCAATGAGTGTTGGATGAATTCTAAACCAAAATATGTCTCAAACACTTCAGTGCTGGCTTCACCCAGTTTCTCTGAAGACGACTTAAAAGATACTATTCTAATAAAAAGAATTCATGCATATCTTGAAAGGAAGGGCTATATCAACTATGGTTGTGGTGAGTATAACTTTCTTAATATCATAGTACAGTAGAATGAATCAAGCAAGATTATTTAGGATTTCAGATACAAAGTACCGAGCTGCAAAGTAGGCCAATGTTTTGAGAGCTCTGTTATAAAAAAATGTGGCATACTTTTCCTGGGGGGAAAGAGAGAAAAACAGAACTGTAGCCAAGATATCTCAGCCTACAATAGGTGATATGATAGATTACGTACTTTTTTGTCCGTCATTAGTCTTTAATATAGTCAAGGGTGACTAGTTTCGGGTCAATGACCCATTTTCCAACCCACATCGAATTGTTGGTCTATGAATCGACGCAAGTTTTCGTTATAATACATAGATACATGTCAAGTTCACAAATTTAACACGAAGAACATTTAATGACGGTAGGCCGGCCACATTTAATCGAACGATACACTGACGCAGATAGCACAGCGGACACGATGGAACTCGTGTATATTAAAGACTGAAGATGGAAAAAAAGGTACGTAACCTATCATATCATTCATATATCATATCATTCATTCATATATCATTGAATATCTTGGTGTCAAAAATGTTTAAAATACAATAGGCGGGTGAAATTCCGGGGTCTGCGATAAGGAAAACCACTAGACTAAAATGTGTGATTAATTTTTAAACGATACTTGATCTAAACATCGGGGGGTCTCACCAAGCAATTACTTTACATCAATGAAAGTTTTACATTTAATAATAACATTGTTGCTTACAATTGAACTTTTACCACAGAACACTCACATTATAACAACTCTGTTGGCTCCGACGTTGTCTTGGAAGACTTCAGTGATCAGGTGTGCAGTATTGTTGAAGTGGACAGCTGTTCAGTTGAGACTGACGATGTTACTGAGCACTCAGTGTCCTCGATAGAGCACGCGTCCAGCATCAACAAAGAGGAAGAACCGGCGATGGAAAAGGTTAAACATGTCGGGAACAGCAGAGTTCGCAAAAAGAAAGTGGTTGAACAAGGATGTGTAAGTAGTGTTTTGTACGATGATTAAATTTTAAAATATGTGGTAGTATTTAGTTTAAAGATAGCTCGAATATAATTTCACTGTTTGTCTGCTTTTGATTCTTTGTTTACGTGTACATTGATTTTTAAGTATTACCATTGACTTGAGATATTGATAGTAGATTTTTCATCCATTTCAAATCTGAAGCCTGATTTGATGTGTTTTAAATCTGGTTGTGTGCCGAGTGCCCTTATGTTGACGAATGTATTTTTCATATTTTATTTTCATATTTAAGTGTTTGGTTAACACTTAACTGTGCTGTTTACGGTTTACTCGTTCATTGTAATACCATAAAAAAACATTGTGTTGTAATGATCAATAAATTTGATTGTGATATTTTTATTTTTTTAATTAGTAAAATAACCTATAAATAAAGTTAATACATCAACACACCTTAACATTACCGAATATAAAAATGCCTTAAAACTGCCTTCAACTGGTAATTGTATCAGTGAAACATAGACTTGATTGTTATTTTGTTTCAATCCAGTACTCCTTCCCCATCTCTATGTGCATACAAAAATTTAGGTACCAAGGCCTACTTCTAACCTCTAAAATAATTTAGATTTTTTTAATGTTTTAGGAAAAAATCAGAAAAACTTCAAACCCAACAGTACAAAAGCCAGGTTCCAGAAGTAAGAACACATCTAAGAAACCTCGCAAGCAAAGTTCAAGGCTATCACCACTATGGAGACCTAATAAGACTGTTAACAACAACGTAAGTGTTTCTAGAACAAAAATTGTTTTAAGAGAGCTTTCTTACTCATTTGTTGTCTGTGTCTCTCTGGCCCATAGTTAATACGAATAAACTGTAACCAAGCCTCACTTGATTGAAGTAGAAAATAAGTTTTTAGGAACCATTTGAATCAGCTTAACAAAATATACTCAATTTAATTTAATAAATTTCTATTCTATGTCTAACGGTACCAAAATACTAAGTGACATAGAAGACACGTCTTCCATTTCATTTATAAATTAGTTTTCTTGTTTATGGATATACAGTATGTTCAAACAATTTTTTAGAATCCTATATTGTTTGTTTATTAGGCTTTCAAAATTGAACAACAAAAACACCTCTATCTAGAAACTGTGTTAATCAGGACAGTGTAAATTTAGTTTTACTATAAACTTGTTTGAATGAAAAAACTTGATTGAGAAATGAGGAAAATAACTAAGGAAATAGAAACTAGAGAGTCTTTAGATTACCAATATATTTAACATGTGAATATTATATTAATTTGAATTCCTCAGCATTTAAGATCTTAGGGAAACCCTTTTGTGACAAATCGTAAAACTGCAATTCAATTAACTAAACAACCTCTGCCTGACTGCTAGAAAACTTTTACTACCCAAGAAATCACTTCCTTATTTTCTAGTTAAATATAATTTGAAAACTTCTGTGAAGTCGCCTATGTATCTCTCAGGTATGTTTAAATTTGTTGAAAGTAATTGGCTAGTTCAAATTTTTCCAATTCTCATGGACCAACACTCGTAAATAGACCTAATCAATAAAAGGCCGGAAAGTAATGTAGTTTTAGTGGTAAAAAAATTATAAATTAAAATGCAATAGTGAATTTACTGAGGTTTTGTTGTCTGTTTAGAGTGAAGGTTACACAATGATGCACACAACAACAGGAGAAGTTATAGTGCAACATAATCAAAAACGGCAAACTAACAAAATGCTGACGAGAGGAATCAGACCCGTCAGGCTAATCCACTGCAAGAACTACGTTAGTAGAAAGGTAAAGTGGTCACCATTATTGCTTGGATTAATAAATAAGACATGAGATTTGTTTTACAACTGTGAATGGATAAAGTACACTTTTTTGACATTTTATGTCAAAATATGTAATATCCTTGTTACACAATGTAGTGTTTTCATCATTAAGTTTCCTAAGTAGGCTATCGTCTTAATGAGTACAAGTCTGTATACAAATTCAGAACTTAAATTCTTGGCTGTCTGGCAAACATGTAAAGATATTGTTCAAAAGTTGTACTAAAAAAAGGAATGCCATACTGGAAATACTCTGGAGGTGAGCTATAATAGATTTTAGTAGCTTTCTTTCTTTAGTTACATATATTGCTTTTTGCCATTAAAACCTATTGCAACTTGCTGCCATTAACTCTTGGAAAGTAAATGGTCTGGATTACCCAAAAATGAGTATTTCCTTTCACACCCATTAGTAAAATCTTCTTTGCCAAATTTCTATGAAATTTTAAAACTAGAACCAATACCTGCTTTGCCTTTGGAATCCTCCTCAACCACCAAATCCGTTGATAATCTTCGGTCACTAAGAGCTAAGAAATCTGTATAATTTCATCTCTGATAAGTTTAGATGACTTTAAACTGTTGCAGTGTATTCAAAAATATTTTCTAATGTTTCAGGCGCCTTACAAAGTGGAACTAGAAGTGACAGTGCTGTTGTTGGTAGACATTCACAGTCACTTGTCACCCAAGTGTGAGGTGATCGGACTGTTGGGAGGCTCACACAGGACGTCAGACAATGTCCTCACCATCACCATGGCTGTGCCTTGCAGAACTGTGCTCAGTAGCAACATCCACTGTGACATGTGTCCAGGTTAGTAGTCACTAGAGATATCACCATACACTCACTTGTCACCCAAGTGTGAGGTGATCGGACTGTTGGGAGGCTCACACAGGACGTCAGACAATGTCCTCACCATCACCATGGCTGTGCCTTGCAGAACTGTGCTCAGTAGCAACATCCACTGTGACATGTGTCCAGGTTAGTAGTCACTAGAGATATCACCATACTGTATCTTGTCACCCAAGTGTGAGGTGATCGGACTGTTGGGAGGCTCACACAGGACGTCAGACAATGTCCTCACCATCACCATGGCTGTGCCTTGCAGAACTGTGCTCAGTAGCAACATCCACTGTGACATGTGTCCAGGTTAGTACTCACTAGAGATATCACCATACAGTCACTTGTCACCCAAGTGTGAGGTGATCGGACTGTTGGGAGGCTCACACAGGACATCAGACAATGTCCTCACCATCACCATGGCTGTGCCTTGCAGAACTGTGCTCAGTAGCAACATCCACTGTGACATGTGTCCAGGTTAGTAGTCACTAGAGATATCACCATACTGTATCTTGTCACCCAAGTGTGAGGTGATCGGACTGTTGGTAGGCTCACACAGGACGTCAGACAATGTCCTCACCATCACCATGGCTGTGCCTTGCAGAACTGTGCTCAGTAGCAACATCCACTGTGACATGTGTCCAGGTTAGTACTCACTAGAGATATCACCATACTGTATCTTGTCACCCAAGTGTGAGGTGATCGGACTATTGGGAGGCTCACACAGGACGTCAGACAATGTCCTCACCATCACCATGGCTGTGCCTTGCAGAACTGTGCTCAGTAGCAACATCCACTGTGACATGTGTCCAGGTTAGTAGTCACTAGAGATATCACCATACTGTATCTTGTCACCCAAGTGTGAGGTGATCGGACTGTTGGGAGGCTCACACAGGACGTCAGACAATGTCCTCACCATCACCATGGCTGTGCCTTGCAGAACTGTGCTCAGTAGCAACATCCACTGTGACATGTGTCCAGGTTAGTACTCACTAGAGATATCACCATACAGTCACTTGTCACCCAAGTGTGAGGTGATCGGACTGTTGGGAGGCTCACACAGGACATCAGACAATGTCCTCACCATCACCATGGCTGTGCCTTGCAGAACTGTGCTCAGTAGCAACATACACTGTGACATGTGTCCAGGTTAGTAGTCACTAGAGATATCACCATACAGTCACTTGTCACCCAAGTGTGAGGTGATTGGACTGTTGGGAGGCTCACACAGGACGTCAGACAATGTCCTCACCATCACCATGGCTGTGCCTTGCAGAACTGTGCTCAGTAGCAACATCCACTGTGACATGTGTCCAGGTTAGTAGTCACTAGAGATATTACCATACAGTCATTTGTCACCCAAGTGTGAGGTGATCGGACTGTTGGGAGGCTCACACAGGACGTCAGACAATGTCCTCACCATCACCATGGCTGTGCCTTGCAGAACTGTGCTCAGTAGCAACATACACTGTGACATGTGTCCAGGTTAGTAGTCACTAGAGATATCACTATACAGTTACTTGTCACCCAAGTGTGAGGTGATCGGACTGTTGGGAGGCTCACACAGGACGTCAGACAATGTCCTCACCATCACCATGGCTGTGCCTTGCAGAACTGAGCTCAGTAGCAACATACACTGTGACATGTGTCCAGGTTTGTAGTCACTAGAGATATCACCATACAGTTACTTGTCACCCAAGTGTGAGGTGATCGGACTGTTGGGAACCGAAAACAGCTTCCTTGGTTACAGCAAAATCGTTTAAGGGTGTTTGGTCAAAAATTTGATGTCTTATTTTTTGTTATTGTTTAATTGTACTAAAAATTAGAGATACAAATATATAAGAAAAAATTATTTATTTTGAATAATAAGCGAGATATGGAGCTTGAAAGTAGTAAATTTTTAATCTTTGGTACCAGTTCACAGGGAGAGTGGGTAATGCGATTCTCACCAAAATTTGCATTCAGGTGTGGAAAAATAAGATAATAATCACTAGCTATTTAAAATTAAAAAATTTAAAAAAAATTTATTTTTTATTTTTTATAAATTTTTTAAAAAATTAAAAAAAAATTTTTTAAAAATTTAAAAATAGCTCTTTGTTTTTGGGAAAAATGTATCTGTATGTTGGAATAAAAAAAAGTGATATGTTAACTCGTTTGGGCTGTGAATTCGTACCTTTGATGCCTTGTGCTGTCGGAGCACTACTCGTTGAGAGTGTGTACACTAACACCGGGGCTTTAGAATACAACGATAAACGTATTCTTTCAATGTTAAAGGATGTTAATAATTACGTGATGTTAAAGCATTCTAAAGCCCCGGTGTTAGTGTACAAACTCTCAACGAGTAGTGCTCCGACAGCGCAAGGCATCAAAGGTACTAATTCACAGCCCAAACGAGTTAACATATCACATTTTTTTTTATTCCAACATACAGATACATTTTTCCCAAAAACAAAGAGCTATTTTTAAATTTTTAAAAATTTTTTTTTAAATTTTTTAAAAAATTTATAAAAAATAAAAAATAAATTTTTTTTAAAATTTTTTAATTTTAAATAGCTAGTGATTATTATCTTATTTTTCCACACCTGAATGCAAATTTTGGTGAGAATCGCATTACCCATTCTCCCTGTGAACTGGTACCAAAGATTAAAAATTTACTACTTTCAAGCTCCATATCTCGCTTAATATTCAAAATAAAACATTTTTTCTTATATATTTGTATCTCTAATTTTTAGTACAATTAAACAATAACAAAAAATCAGACATGAAAATTTGCGACCAAACACCCTTAAATCCCCTACGATCTTGGTGTGATTGTCAGTTTTTCAATCGGCATATCTTGCGGTTGCTTTCTTGGATTGGGAAAATAAAGGCTCAACTCAAAAAATAAAGGCTCAAGGGATTGACTCAACTCTACTCAGAGCGTGGCCTGAACTGCCTCCTCAGGCTATACCTTGTTCCCCATATTATCCCTACCGTTATTAGCAGTGGCGGCTCTAGGACCTGGTCAAGGGGGGGACTCCGGGGGGTTTGGGGGGTGTGGAACACCCCCCAAGAGAAGAGGGGGGTCCGGGGGTCTTCCCCCGGAGAAAATTTGACATTTTTAAAGCCGTTTGGTGACTTTCTAAAGCAATTTTTAACGCCTAAAACTGTGTCCAATAATAGCCCAAAAACTCCCATTTTACCTGTTGTTTGTCATGCGAGCAAGTATAGCCTACATAAGTAGGCCTAGAGTAGAGTAAAGTATATTTTTTAAATAGTTTTTACCAATTTATTTAATAGATCAGATTTATTATCCTAACAGAACTAGGCCTATATTAAATATGAATAGATATTGCAAAGCATAACAATTAATCCTCTATTGTGGTTTCTATTTCATAATTTAACTTGCAATTTTTAAACCTAGTTTTAATTTTTACTGGTCAATTTCGGAATTTTGGTGGAGGATTTTGACCCTCTAAACTCTAAAATCAATTGGCATGTATAAACAAGAGAAATTGGCTCCCTCTTGTTTTGAAGGTTTTTTGCCGCTGCGCGTGCGCAAGTCTGCAGTTGCGTCATTAGTAGTGGTGTGTTTACGTTGTTCTCAGAATGGCGCGCATTTTACCCCGCACTACACGTATATCTGTAGCTCTGGCGCTACCCGCCCGTCCATACAACCTTCAACCTTCTCCCCCCATACCCTCCAAAACGTAACTACCCTGCGGGCTGTGAACAATCTTAATAATTGGTGACTCATATTATTAAAACTAAAACTAACTACTAACATTCTAAATACATAGGCCTACCTTAATTTAATTGTTTGAAACAGAAGTTCATCCGTCGGTCCTTCTGCTCCGAGAAATGTTGGATGACAAGCTCGTTGAAATTGTGTGTTTTTAAAAGTCCCTTCTCAATTGAGCACATTGCTAGTGCATTCAGCCGGTCTTCTCTCATGGTGTTTCTTGTAAATGTTTTTATGCGTTTAAGCGTTGAAAAACATCTCTCACTTTCAGCATTGGACATGGGAATTGTGCAAATAATTTTTAGAAGCTTAACAGACTCAGCAAGGACGCCAGTTAAATTATTTTCATAAATGAAGTTTAATAACATCAGCGATCCTTTGGCACTTTTAAAGTCATCCCTGCTATAAATTACAGATAGCTCTTGTCTTAGCTCCAATTTATTAAGACCAAATATATTTACAGCAGCTTCCAGCTCTTTTTCGGGAAATGTATCTTTATATTTGGAAAATAATGTAGGCTCAAAAAGCACACCGACTGACAGATGGTCTAGGAAGCTAAAACGGTCGTTAATTCCGGTAGTTATGACATCGCACACTTCCTTAGCAACAATGTCTTTTCTATCACTAAAGCGAGCGCGCTTTGTTTTGGGTTCGAGTTCGGTTTGTGATGACTCATCATGTAGTGATTCATTGTCTCGACTACATCCAGCTGCACTTGCAGTGTGTGTATCAGGATTGGGAGAATTCCTTATCTCTGAGATAGCCTTTTTAAAATCGTCTACGTATTTCCGTGCTTTTATGCAATCAATACTGCGATGCTGGATTTCATTGTAGAGAATATCTACATGAGGCATAATTTTGTTAAAAAATCTAAGCCAGTAAATAAAGTCCTCATTTTGGAGGATGTGTTGTAGGCCAATAGCTTGGTTTATGGTTTTGTAGTCATTACTGTTGTCGTCAACAATTTTCCCAAGACATTCATCAATTTCGTGGTTGTAATTTTGTATTGTAGAAACGATCCTTGATTTGTAGTTCCATCTAGTTGCTGGATTTTTCGGCATGCGTTTTTTAACGATGTCGTCAAGAACTTTGGTTCGTTTTGTTGACTGAGAAAAAAAAGCTGAAAATCCTTCAATATTGCTGAAAAATATCTTAATCTGTTTGTTTTGAGTAGAACACCTCTCTACAATTAAATTTAATTGATGTGCATAACAATGAACGTAGTGGGCGTTTTTATAAACTTTTTTCACCCTAGCCTGTACGCCAGTATGTTGCCCACTCATCGTAGCCGTGCCGTCATAGCTCTGGGCTATTACTTTGTCGGGGGTTTTATCCAGTCCTAGCTTCTGCAATTCACAAAATATAGCCTCACTAATTCCCTCAGCATTCAAACTCTTGGGGTTGACATAAGTGATAAATCTCTCTTTAATTTGACCACTCAATTCGTACCTAACAATAAAAACCAATTGAGATAGTGTAGCTACGTCTGTGGTTTCATCTGCTTGAATTGCTACATAACTGCTTTGGCGAATTTCCTCGGAAATCAGTCGATGGCAAACTGAATAAATCGAGTCAAGCAAATCGTTTTGAATTGTTTTAGAAAGGCCAACAAATACTCGATTGTTTGTCTTTTCAATGTGCTGTTTCAGTGTAACATCTATGTCAGCCATTAGATTAATCAAACCTCGAAAAATTCCAGGATTGTCTGATGAATCACGTTCATCGTGACCCCTTAGAGCTAATTCAAATATACCACAAAATTTAACTGCATCGATAAGTTTGTTTAAAATATATCTGTTATTAGCAACTTCTTCATTGTGTTTTTGAATATTTAACCTGTAGGCATTGTCCAGCTGGCTTGCTATATTAACTTTACCTAAAACTGCATATTCGATACTAGCATTTATGTGTTTCTCACTAATTTTATGTTTTTTTACTTTTTCCGCCAAGTGTTTTAAATCTGTCACACCATTAACAGTCCAAACAGAGTCACTAGCATTCATAACCAAACAGTAATAACAGAAGAAAGCATTCTTTTCGTTACAGCCACACAACCACTCAGCATTGTTGTACATAGATTTGTTAAAATTTCTAGAAAATCCTTTTCTACTCTTGCAAGATTTTTGAGATTGCGTTATAACTAAATCAGGTTTTGGCGGGCCTAGCAGCTTTAACTCAACTCTCTGTTCAAAACTTACCACCTCGCAACTGGCATACTTCGTTGAAATGTTTTTCACCGAATTCATTGTTCATTAATTCGCACTACACACTACTACACTACACTTAAAACGAAAAGAAACAGAGGTACAGGTACAACTGTATATTAATTAATTAATTAACTACTATAGTATACCGGCGGCACGGCACGATAACATAACCTCACAAAACTAAAATTTGACTGATCTCTACATAAATTGCGTTTGACAGATCGAGATCGCTCGCTGCACCCAGCGCTTGTTGTGGCAATAGTTTGAACTACTGTTTGGACGGAGTCCCAAACGCCCTATATCTGTTGCATTAGAGCCTGATGCAGCGCTGTGATTGGTCGAATATTTCCATGCAGTTTATATGGGAGTTTGGACTCATACCTACTGCGTCCCGGCGTACTACCTGTTGCAATAACATGTGGCGTCCTCTACTACCCGTCCCAAGAACATTGACCCTACTGACGTTTATGTACATTGAATGTAGGATTGTAAATTATTTTTAAGTATGTTATTATTTTTTTTTTACTATTTTGTTGAAAAAGGGAGGACTCCGTCCCAGAGTCCTTATGGACCAGCCGCCACTGGTTATTAGCTTACTAATGTTTATTTTATTCTGTTATGCCTGGTTCTAAGTTTAAATCTTACCAATATAGATTGAATTTGATTAATCAAGGTTCCTGTAGTGTGAATGTTCATTCAACTAGTCTGTTTGCGTTTCAGTGTCGCAGTGCGAAAGCAGTGAGATGATCACCAGTCAAGGCATGTCTGTGGTTGGTTGGTACCATTCTCATCCCAACTTTGACCCGTCCCCGTCCGACACCGATGTCGACACTCAGAACACGCTGCAGTCGTGGTTCAAGGACAGCGGTCAGCCCTTCGTAGGCCTCATCATCTCACCGTACTTCCCCTCCCATGATGTCTCTTTCTACAGGTTGGTGGAACGAGTAGTAGTGCAGTGAACTGGGAAATGTAGGCAGCGGTGTTGTGGGCTCGCCAGTTAAAATTTAATAGGATACAATCTTGTAGGTCTACTGTACCAGCACACCCCTTACTTTGCATAATGTGTTCACCACACTGGCCTGCCTGAGGTCCATGTGAATGAGCAAATTCTAGGTTAAAAGAGGCTGCCAAACTTTAAATGAAGAGAAAGAAGTTATGGAGGGTAGGGACGCCTATCCTGCATGTGTAAAAAATGTTTGCTCTATCTAGTTTTCTCACATATAGCTTTCTTTACTACCAAGCTACCACAATTGTTCAACCTAATCACAATCAAAGGAGTTGTAATAGGCTTAGTAGACTTCTGATTCAAATTACAAACATCACATCAGGGTATTTTAAACATGTTTATGAACAATAACGAATCTCAGAAAATCTCAATGTTGTTTCTTAGGGGAGGTTCACAAACTCCAATGGTATTAATTTAAATAAGCAGAGAGTATCACAAACTCTAAAATTCACCTGCTCCAAAGTACAGTCCGTGCCAGAAGTTGCTGCAGGGGTTGCCACAGTCAGATTGCAAGCACCGCACATTCTTGCGTTGTTAGCCACACGCCACAAAACAGCATTGTGGGCTCGAGTATTGATAACCTAGTCTAACCACGGTGGATGGTGCCTGCAATCTGACTGTGGCAACCCCTGCAGCTTCTGGCCCAGACTGTACTTTTGGAGTTGGTCAAATGCTCCCATTTCTTATTCTTAATGTATTCACAGGTGTTGCCTAGTAGAAACAGAGGGCAAGGGACCTGTGCCTTATCAGCTGGAAGTGAAGCTTATCAATTTATACAGCAACAACGGAATGCCTTTGAAACACATACAGCCTATTGAGACAGCGTTCAAGACTTTGCAGACATTCGAGCCCATCCGACAGCTCAATGTGTACAAGGTGGGTCGAATACAGACAGTCTCCTTGTTGTTCCTATTATTATTCTCACCAGCATTATCAGGTTGTTGTGTAGTCTACTTAATAGTGATTAAGCTGCGGTCACACTTTTCATATTATGCTGAATATCAACAACAATATTAACAATATCTTAGAGGTTAACTGTAAGAAAGGACCATGAGGTCCTAAGTTCGGCTCAATAAAGAAGCATTTTCATTTAATTTAAATATCCAAATAAATTTTAAGAAGCCTGTACAGCTGTATAAAAAAAAATACCCACCATTTTTTCTTGGAATTATTACTTTACTTGCTAGTAAAGTAAGAGTACCCGTCCTTCGTACTGGGTTGGGATACAAGTATAAAATGCTTATTACAGTTATACTCAAGCTTTGCGTTTGCATTGAGGAAGGACACAGTTTGATAAAATTTGCTTCTTTAAATTTACAGTATTTTATAGTATTACACATCTACAATAGCCATAATGTTCTACAACTTCACCTGAACAATAGAGAAAAATAAATTATCAAAAATCCGCACAATATCACAAATTATTCATTAAATAAAAAAAAAACATGAATATAACTGTAAACAATCCTACTTTGACAGTTAGTTCTCATTGCGTATCACAGTTTTTTGTTGCTGCCAAATTAGCTGTTTTTATTAATGCAAAAAATATAGTGCTGCACCCTGTTGGTAAATCTTATAACTTTTTTATGCTTTTTTATATCATAGAACCAACTTTTTAAGAACCAACAGCCGACTAAATTTTTTAATTCCCTTTAAATATGAATACTCATAAGGTTAACATGGGGAACTACAGAGCCACTGGGGCGGAGCCCGAATGGATTTTTGAGATAAGAATTTTACCTATATGTTTATCGGTAATGTGAGCTATCATCATGCCAAATTTCAGCCAAATCCGTCTAGTAGTTAATGCGTTATTGAACTTCAAACAAACAAACTTTCACATTTATAATATTAGTAAGAAGTAAGATTTTTACAAGTAGCCTTCCTTAGTTTTACTTTCAAAGAGAGAGGAAGTGATGGTGAGACATCCCAAGAATTTATAATGTAAATATCTGCCCAAAATTGTTAAATAATTGATACCGCATTTTTTATATTGCTACCTGTAATGAATATTTCCTAGACATTACTAGCAACAATCATACCTAATCCCAAAGATTAAAATTATTTGTTGAACCGTATTCATTTTTACTTTCTCCCTCTATACATAGGCTAGTATATAGAGTAAATATTGTTTTTGTCAAAAATTGTGAGTTTTAGTTTTGAGTGGATATATCCGTTTTGGGAACCCAAAAAAGTGGTTTTCGAAGTGATGTCTGTCCGTGTGTTTGTATGTGTGTGTCTGTCTGTATGTGTGGATGTGTAAGGGGCTACAGACCACACCTGTGGTTCGATTTTTATGAAATTTGGTATGTAGGTACTATTCCATGGTATCCCCAGGTTTTGTCCATTTTTTTGAAATTTTAATTTTTAATAGTGATTTTCCCATAAAATAACGGATAAATCGGATTTTTCTAACCAAATTGCCCAAACGATTTTGGTAAAAATTTAGTATGTTTAAATTCCTTAAATTGTCCTTTAAATTCTAAAAAAAATGGTACAACTTCCATTCCTGTAGAATTTGATGGTTCAAAAGTTATTGTAATTTATTATGTCATTTTCCTGTAAAAACCCATTAAAAAGAAAAATTGATTTTAAAAACCCGACTCTGATTAAAATTTGACTGTTATGGTCCTTTAATATCTTAACAAAATAGTGCAACCCCCATTGCTGTAAAAATTGCGGTTCAAAAGCTTTTGCAACTTTTGTAATTTGTTCTATAAAATATCTTAGTTACTCCCATCACCTCAAAGTTTGTTGTTAAACAATTGGGAGAAGTAAGTGTTAGATTGCTGACACCGTTTAATATAACAAAGAACAGTTTTTTCTAACCTCAATTTTTTTACTGTTTCAGTGCTTGGAAAGTGCAAAGCATCATCTAAGAAAAGCTGCCCCCAAAGTGGAGGAGGAAAAAGTCTCTCAGATTGTGAAAGAAATCAGAGACTGTATAAAGGAAGGATTTCTGTCATTAGTGAAGAAAAAATGACAGGGGAAAGAGAAATTGAATATCTTCCATTTGTACATTTTGTACATGACACTTACTTTTGACCCACAATGGGTTACCTGTAGTATTTGTATGATACTAATTACGACAGAGGTACAATATTTTCAGCTTTAAATGGTAGACAAAGTGAATAGTGACTATAGTCACATATACAACTCAGTGAATTTGTTATTTCATAAAGGATTACTTATTTATTTAGTTGATTTATTTGTTTAGGATACAAAGCTGATTTATTCAAGTCAAAATCAGGCTAAACATTCAGAATCTACAAGATGAGGATAATATTTATAGCTAGTCCAGCATCTAAGGGGTTATTTTGACACTAAATAAGCCTTCTGGGTACGTTCATTAGAGTTCAACAGCCAATGTTTACCTGTTTTCTAAAACAGCCCTTTGGACTCGCAATGTTTAGTAAGATATTTACTGATTGAACGGCTATTTTTCGGACGGTGTTCACTAATCAGGGCAGCTGATGTTCATAGGTTCAAATAATTAATTTGAAAAACAGCAAAGAATTTGTTTAAAAATATTTCTTTAAACACACAATGTAAAGCAGTGCCATCTAAATGTAAAGTTTTAATTTATCATGATTTATGATCTATATTAGCTTTTAACTATCAAATATGTGTATCTGAATTTATATATTTTTTATACGAGACTATTATTTGAAATTTTTACAAAAATAATGTGTTATGTAGTTTTTATTTTTGTAGGCCAAAAATTAATAGACTTAAAATATTGTTGCTAAATTTTATCTTTTGTTGATCACTAGAGCATCACAAAAACTTAAAACTATTGTTGGTTATGTATAGTTAAAATTACATGTATTTTTTGTTTTAGTATTAACCATACTTTCTACTGATATGTATATCCATACTCTTATACAATAAGGGTTTTCTCTGTTACATCCATTTTTTAATGGTCCTACTTAACCGTTCTACGATTAAGGTGTCATTTTAAAGCTTATGATCCAGTGGGCCTGCGATTAGTAACGAAAAAGGTAATTTACTTAAGGTCTTCGTCCCCTTGTGTTTAAATTATTTCTAGAGTTCAGTTTCAAAGATCTAGAGTTGCTGAATAACAAATTTACTGAAAATTAGTACTACCGTACTGTTCACTTAATAAATGGTTTAAACAAACATAATCTTGAAAAGGTAAATGGGGTTGCACTGGATTTATTTTGCCTCGGAAACAAGTTTTGAACAATATTAAACTGCACAATTCGCTGCAAATATATAAATTGAAAAGTATTTTTTTTTTAGTTTCTTGGGAAATCAAAACAAAAAAATATTTTATCTCGGTCCTCTAAATGGGAAATTTGCTGTAATAAAAAATAACCTCAAAGATAACAATCTGTGTCCTTCCATGGAGATTAGTTTTGAATATATCCAAGCCCTAAGTACAGCCTTCCCATAAAACAGTTTTAGTGCAACTATCAACCAATAGAAAGTCACGAATGTACCAATCAGATTTTTCTCTGTATTACCTGTTATAAAGTTCCTCAAGACTGTATTCTAAAATGTAAAATTAGTGTATATTCTACAGATAGTGCAATTTGTTAGTTTTTAAAGCATTATTTCAAATAATTTAGTATATGTTTTAAATATGTTATTGTAAAATGTAAATTATAACCATGGTTCATGACTATGAATTTATAAACTGCTAGAATTACACATTGGTGGGATATGTTTTATTTTCACTCTTGGTAAACATACCATGAGATGGTTTACTATACCCATCTCTTTAAACAAATCTATCGTATTAATCACCATGCCCATGAACTTTTCAGCCGCTGCTAATTGTGATGTTCTGTAATATACATTTGATTGCAAGGTTGCACACAAGCCTAGCTTCTTTGCCAAAAAGGAAGAGCAGTTTGTTAATGATTTTGAATATCACAAGTACACTACTCAAACTCTTCTATATCTAATGCGTGTGATGTTGATTGTGCCAGTGTTGACTAAACTTATATTATTTTACAGTAGATTTAATCATTTGCACTTGACTCTTTAGACTTTGGTTATAAAATAAAGGAACAAGCAATGATTCAAAAATGCATCATATGTTGGTGAAAATTCAGTTAAATAGGCCTACTTTAAAAATTGGTCAAGTAACGAGAAACAGTAAACATCACACCCTTTTGTGAACCTGACAAAACTAACATCAAAATTGTCTTTAGCTGATAAGAATGGTGAATCTACAAGTGTGTTAAGTTTATGGTTTTATCTTCATTTGGTTTTATCAATTTTTATCATTCATTCTCTTACATTAAGGAAAGAAGGAATAGATACACTACTAACCTACATTTTCTTTTTCTTTTGCTTTCTTTTTTTGTGTGTGCTTTCAACTACCTAGAACATTTTTTAGTTAAGTTAGTTGTTCATCCATCTTTCTTCCTTAACGTACTCCTCAGTCAAGCTTATTGTACTGTAAGCGTACGACTTGTTTGCAAGCCGGGTGCGCGGGGGGAGAGCGGTACCAATCTCCCACCACGCAGCCAAAGTTTCCGTAGCATTGGTTGGACTACGCTTTTTATAATTTAAATTTGAATTTAATTCAAGTGCCATACAATGTAATTGACTAAGGGTTCTATATTATTGTTTTGGTACTGTAGTAGAGTATTTTATTTTGGTGTAACTATTTTTTTTTTACTTATTTAAATGTACACCAAACGGTAAAATCATATTAGGCCTATATTCCAATTTATTTGTTAAGTTTGACTTTTTTTTTTTTAGGTGTAAATTATTAACTTTTATAGTTAGAGTTTATTGGCGATATCTTAAGATATAGTATTTTATGTAAAAACACATACAGATATACCTATAAACAGAAAACCATAAGGCTTAGTACATATCATTATGGAAACTTTTGCTTATTTTCATATTATGTACGACAAATAACACCTTAAAATATCGGACGGGTTTTCCGAACACCCTTTAAAACAGTTAATGGCTTGCAGTTATTTATTTTATATCCCTAAGTTGAAAAAACGACAGTCGGTCTCTTAATGTCGTACGTAAAGTATTTTATGACCCTATTTTATGACCGGAAGAGTATTGTATTCTAACGTGTTCTATCGACTGTCAGTTTATTGGACTGTGCTGTTTAGATGAGTAGAGCGGTTGAGTAATTAATTATTGAGTGATTGTTAAGCCGTGGGTTGAAAAAAAGTCAGGCTAGGCTAACATAGATTAATATCATGGCAACCGCCCGTAAAAAAGGGCAAACCATTCACAGAGTAGCGATGGAAATATTATAAGACCAACAGGTGCCGTGTGTTGGTGTTACGCATCCGCTGGGAGTAGAAGTACAGGGTGGGGCAGAGTGGACTCCCTAGTTTCAATCAGTCGCTGAAGAGCGTGCACGCGAGTTAGCGGAATGGGAGAGGTTTCATGTGGTGGGGGGAAACACGCCATTGTTGATTGTTGGTAGTCACCATGCGGTGGACTGGCGAGCATCGTGGTTTTGTAGTCGAAACGTTTTTTAAAAATATGGGTAGTGTTGTGGCGACCCAGCGTGCATTTCGTAGACGGTTTGGTTTGAATCGTCATGATAGTGTTCCCGATGCTAAAACCATAAGGAAATGGATTACAAGTGTATGGGCGACCGGATCTGCACTGCCTAGAAAACCAGTCGGACAACCAAAGAGTGTGAGGACACCAGAGAACATAATGGCGGTGAGAGCGTCTATTGAACAATCTCCATCGCGCTCTGCGCGGAAACATGCTGCTGCTCTTGTAATGTCGGCCAGAGCGGTGAGGCGAATTTTACACTCAGACCTTAATTTACACCCGTATAAGATGATGGATTGACGCCAGCAGATTTTGTAAAACGTACAGATGCTTGCAATGCAATACTGGCTTCTTTACAACCCGGCAGTATTCTGTGGTCTAGTGATGAGGCACATTTTCACCTCTCGGGCACAGTAAATAAACTAAATGTTTGTTACTGGGCAGCTGAAAACCCACGAACTCTTCACCAAAAACCTCTTCATTCTCCAAAAGTGACTGTGTGGTGTACTGTGTCCTCCATAGGCATAATTGGCCCCTACTTTTTTGAATCGGAAGGTGCAACCGTTACTGTGAACGCTGTGCGCTATTGTCAGATGTTGGAGAACTTTTTCATCCCCAGAATTGAAGAGTATGGTGAGGAAAATAATATGGAAGCCTTTTGGTTTCAACAGGATGGTGCCACGGCTCATACCGCCCGTCGCTCTCGCCAACTTCTGCAAGGACGGTTTCCCGACCGCTTGATCTCATTACGAAGGGATGTTTCATGGCCCGCTCGCTCCCCCGATCTAAGCCCATGCGATTATTTTCTTTGGGGTTACCTCAAATCTGAGGTTTACAAAGTTCGACCAAGGACCTTGGAAGCCCTTAAGGAAGCAATTGTTGATGTTATCACTGAAATAACGCCAGATATGCTGCGTAGAGTTTTTGAAAACTTCATTGAACGGCTGAATATGTGCATCGCTCGTCAAGGTCGTCACCTGGACGATATCATTTTTAAAACTTAATGAAAAATAAATGGCATTGTATTTAGATTTCAGAAATAAAAAGCTTTTGTAATAATCTTGTATGGTTTTTATACAGTTAACCGATCAAATCAGGGAGTCCACTCTGCCCCACCCTGTAGTATAGACAACATTTTAGGACGACTAGTAGCAGATCGCCAAGCGCCCGGCTGTGGTGGGGGCCTCTTCTGGCCGTGGAGGCGGTGGAGGGGCCACGCGCAAACAAGTCGTGCGCTTACAGTACCTGTACCTCTAGTTTTTTTTTCAGTTTCCTCCAAAAAAACTAATCTAAATACTGTAAAGTAGATGTTCCAGTACCATGTTACAAGCTGTAACCAGTTTTATATTTAAAAAACATACAATTGGTCATTGGACTACATTTGAATGTGTTTACAAGAAAAAGTTTATTCTTTTATGCAAGCTTGTAGGCACGACCCACCTGCTTCCATCTAATATCTTCTAAAATCATTGTATCATTGTATCTCCCAATAAATGTTCTTAGTTTCTACCGAAACTGTGTTGTAATCATTTTTTTTTATTGCTTATAATAATGTTGTATTAAAATGTACCATACAAATGCTTTAAAAATGTATTTTTAGTAAAGAGTATATAAGTTATTATTTAAGAAAATGGATAGATTTTATCATCATATTATTTTTTATTTGTTTGATGTTTTATTTACAACAATAGGCCTACTTTATAGATTGTAAAAATTAATGTATTTTTTTAAATAAAAATGTATACAGTTTTACCATACGTTTGTGTGTGTTTTATAGTCATATAAATACTTTTTATGAACTCGTGGTTTTAATACAAACCTTTTTTCTCCTGTATGTAATAATCTTTTAACCCCATTGGCCTATAAAAAACAAAACACTAGGAAGTATTTACCACTAATACCATTACCAAAACCCTACCCAGGCTGACGCCAACCAAAACCCCAGGTCTGTGAGACCCCATTTGAAAATAATGGACTACGTTTAGAAACACACAAACCAGAACCCTTGGCTTGTGAGACCCCGCTTTAAAAAAC